GACATAAACAACTACCGTCCTATAACAGTGACATCAGTGGTCTACAGGCTGGCGATGCAGATTATAAAGGAAAGACTGCAGGCGTGGATAGAGGATGAGGGGGTGCTGGGGGAACTGCAGAATGGGTTTCGGAAACACAGGAGGTTGGAAGAAAACCTGTTCTCACTGACGCAGTGCATCGAAATAGCAGAAAAGGAACACAGGCCCCTGTGGCTAGCATTTTTGAATATCAAGGGAGCGTACGATAGCGTGGTTCAAGAGGAATTGTGGGGAATACTGGACACACTAGGCGTAGAACATGTAGTCACTAATCTTTTAAAGGGTATCTATAAAGGTAACAAGGTAGTTATAAAGTGGGAAAAGCAGGTATCCAAGCCTGCAGAGGTAAAACGGGGGCTTAGGCAGGGGTGCCCCCCTGTCACCCTTATTATTCATGATGTACCTACAAGGATTAGAGGCAAAATTAGAGGGAAGTGGACTGGGCTTCAACCTCTCTTTAGTCAAACAAGGAAAACTTATTGATCAGGCACTACCAGCATTAATGTACGCAGATGATATAGTGCTAATGGCCAACAACAAGGAAGATTTGCAGAGATTGATGGACATCTGCGGTAATGAGGGAGATAGGTTAGATTTTAGATTCAGTAAGGAAAAATCAACAGTCATGATTTTCAATGACAACGAAGGCAGTGAGCTTAGAATACAGGAGGTCACGCTAGAGATAACAAATAAATACAAATATGTGGGCGTATGGATGAGCAATGGGACCGAGTATCTGAGGGAACATGAAATATACGTGACGACTAAAGGTAGCAGGAATGCAGCAGTCATGAAAAATAGGGCACTGTGGAATTACAATAGGTATGATGTTGTGAGAGGAATATGGAAAGGGGTCATGGTTCCCGGGCTGACGTTCGGCAATGCGGTCTTGTGCATGAGATCAGAAGTTCAAGCAAGATTAGAAATTAAGCAACGTGGAATAGGTAGGCTTGCTTTAGGAGCTCACGGGAATACACCAAATCAGGGAGTACAAGGTGATATGGGATGGACATCATTTGAGGGCAGGGAAGCTAGCAGCAAGATAAAATTTGAGAAGCGATTGAGAGAAATAGGGAAGAGCGTTGGGCTAGGAAGCTTTTCAGCTACTTGTACATGAAGAATGTCGATACAAAATGGAAGAAACGAACCAGGAAGTTGACTTAGAAAACAGCAGGTGGCCAAACCAAAAAGAACTATCGGTTAAGAAGAAAGTGAAGGAAACAGAGACTGACATGTGGAGAATGGGCATGATTAAGAAGTCCGCACTAGAGATCTATCGAACTTTTAAGCAGGAAATTTCCAAGGAAAGGATCTATGATAATACTCGGGGTAGTTCTCTACTGTTTGAGGCCAGGACGCAAGTACTGCGAACCAAGACATATTGGGCCAAATACGAAGGGGTAGACACAGTATGCAGTGCGTGTGGAGAGGAAGAAGAAACTGCCGAACACTTGATAATGTTCTGTAAAGGGCTTCACCCTATAGTTCAGGATGATGGCGCAGAGTTTTTCAAAGCACTGGGGTTTAGGGACCGGGAGGGCAAAATAAAATTTAAGCGGGTAGACTTAACTAGAAGGAGGTTATCTGATTGGTGGCTAAAGTCAAGGCACGAGTGAAAATTAAACTCTTCACTGCAAGGTACGAATCCTCAAACTCACTTTTAAGGAAAAAAAATATAGTTTTTGGTTCATTAGGTATTACGGCTTGGTGGCGCTAGCCACCGCCCGATGTAAAGGGTACAGCCATATCCATCCATCCATCCATCCATCCACAGGTATTTTTTGATAATGTTTTTAGCTCAACAAAATTACTTCAAGTGCTTCGAGGAAAAAGACATTCTTGCTTGTGGTACATTTCGCATCAACAAGAAGGATCTCCCACAAGTAGTCAAAGAAAATAGCAAGCTCGAGAGAGGGTCCTACGTTTGGAGGAGAAAAGCAGAAGTAGTCGCCTATCAATAGAGAGACTCGAAAAATGTACACCTTATGTCGAACTACCATGACCCAGAAGACCGTGTGCTGGTGCAACGAACACTCCAAAATGGCAATAAATTGGCTGTTCCGAGCCCTTCCGTTTTGAAAGACTAAAAAACGTGGATGGGAGGTGTCGATAAATTCGACCGAAAAAGAAACACCTACCACGCAGACCGCCGATCAAATCGCTGATGGAGCCGCATATTTTACTTCATGTTGGATGCAGCCATAGTGGATGCTTTTATTCAAATGAGTTTTATAGAGCCTGTTGTATATCTGCAGTTCCACTTGATACTTGGTCGCCAACTGGTTGCGCAAAACAGCTTTAGAAGATCGAGCATTACACTGAAAGCTCACCACAACAAAAAAGGAAAAATAACGAATGTGAGTGAAGTGCCCTTGAGCTCCAGTTCGTCAGAAATGGCCACCATCCGAAGTTCACCGGTAAACGTCTGCAGTGCTGGTTGTGCTCCACACAGATGAACGCAGACAGCGAGATCAGATTTGGTGGATCATTGCCACAGCTGTTGTTGTGCTCCAGAATTCACCACTGGGCTTGTGTGCTTAGAAATTGCAAAGATCAGGCAGTGCGAGAAACTACAGTAGCGTTTGCTATCAGCGAGAATGAAAGAAAGTGTTTCGATGTTGTGTTGGTTGCCTTGTCCCGCAAAAAGCTTGATTATCTGAAAGCAAATAACGCGCATGTAAGGGGGTATTACGTGAAGCTGCTTATATAAGGAAGCACCTCGAAGTGCATTAGCGACGAGGGGTCGGGCCTTAAGGCCTGACCACACGCAACCGTCGCAGTGCGTCAGTACTTTCTTGACGTGGTGGAATGCCCTCTCCCGAAGAAGAGAGAGGGGGCATGGCTACGCGATGTTGCGCGCCCTCTCTCTCTCTCTAGGAAGAGGGCGCGGCGCCGCGTCAAGAAAGCCATGCAGTGCACGTTCTGATGCGCTGCGACAGGTACGTGTACTGTGGTCAGGCCTTTATGCTACAAGCTGTTATATTTCAATGCACAGTAACCAGTCAAACACATTTGTGAGGATGCGTTTCAATTTAGTGTTATACCGATTATTATGACAAAAGGACCAACCATGCTTTTTCAGCACGAGCTCCAGCGGCGAACATCATTCGGGCATCCGGCAGCATCACATGCACGCGACATTTTGTCGAGCTTTCTGTCACAGTGACTTGCGTTAGCGCACAAAGAACACGCAGCGGTAAGCGATATCGACACTACCATAGAGTCTGAGAGGCGACCGCTTGAGCGAAGTGCAGTTCGCCAACAACGGTACTGTTGAACCACTCGCGCCACTCCTCGTGGTAACGCAGGGGTTCTTTTTCTTTTTCTATTAACCAAACGTTAACAGACAAGCAGCATTTTCTTGCGTGTTGTAATGCACAGAGGGTTCTTTTACTATTATTGTAACTGGTTTGATTACTAGTTAATATTCGCACTCGGGACTTTAGACATCATCAGGATCGTTGCAAAATATCCCACTCATGGCGCAGATGGTGTCGTACATTTATCTTAATTACTCGATTAGTAGAGCACTGCTGTTGATAATATTAGTGTCTTAGATGTTCATATTTGACCACATTGAATACCCCTCTACAGGCTGCTTTGCCGCAGCAGGTGCTATGTCATGAAATCGCCCATCCTGGAGAAATTTGCATTGCCACGAAGCCATGCTTAAAGGTTAAATTTAAGAATTACCTCTACTTCTAGCGTTGATTTTTAAGGTTTAAAAGCATGTCATACAGGCTTATGTGTGCTAACCATATTATTAGGGTGCTTTTGAATAGCGTACGCAAAGTATTGCATTAGCGTTTCGCGCCACTATGCATGTGTCGTGCACTAACCACTTGCGGGCTCCCGTTAAGTGACTGAAATTAGCGGGTGACCGCAACACCGCTAACTTAGCGTACGCTATTCGAAAACTCCGTACTAAAATTTAACCTAGTGTACCAGTTATAACTAGCACCCTCTTGCTATATAGATCTTGCTGCTATTCAACGTTGCTACGTTATCACATTGAACCAAAGAAGAGACATCCAGACATGTTTCATTCCAATTTTAAAGAATATTGTGCAAGCTAGTGGGAACAAGGCAAAAACACTAACTTTTATTACCAATGTGTCATCTATGCTAATCAGGTTATTCTATTCGAAATCAGTCGACCAAGTTGCTATTCGCTTTGAATTCGCTTTGGACCTCAAACTTGCTATTTTCCCAACCCTATATTCTGGTGGTTGCTCCACATAATCTTGCAGCTAGCCATGAATTCTTACATTTCTTCCTTTTAATCTTCTCGATCTGGTGCTTAAAATTGAATTGGTATACAGTTTATTGAGCAACTTTTCATGTTGAATGAAATGATGAGTTTGCCTTTTATCGAATTCATTACTGTGCTACTCAATGCCATTCTTTTTCTTTTCGTCATTGCACTGCCACAGTAAAAATGTACGAGGTCGTAAGAATTAATATTGTCACCGTGTATTTTTCAGTTCTGCAATTCCTAAAATAAAAGTATTCATTGTTATTATTTCTACATTCATTATTTATGACTTTCTTTGCCACAAACTTTTAATTTTCCAGGCATCTAACCTAAAATTGTCCAATCGGTTAACATTTTTTTTACAAGTACAGCACGTCATTTCCTTCATCCTCAAAACGCTGGCAGCTACAGTTGACAAGACTGCACTTGAAAAATCTGCTGCTACGTTCAAACCTTGATATAATGAATTTGGGTATAACAAATTATTGATCATAATGAAACAAGCTACCAATAGCTCTGACATTGTGTTACAAATAATCACTTATAACAAATTTTCGGATATAACGAACTATTTTCATGGCAGATGTGAGTTTGTCATAACTAGGTTTGAGTGTGCTTCGCTAGCTCAAGCTCCACATCATTTAAATAGTTTAGCATTACGACATATCCTACAGTTTGTGGAGTTTAGAATAAAACACGCCACTGCTTCATTGTCAACCAATGTTTATTGATCGTTGTAAAAAAAAGTTTTAAAAATGAATTTGCATCCATAACATGACTAGACATACTTTTTTTTACAGCTGAGCCACAGCAGCCGTAAAAGGATTGTTCACGTCACAAAAACTAAAGTGGAACGGTTGGCAGCCCACCAACATTGCACAACTAATCACGCACGTACACTGTATAAATGTTCAGGCTCCGAAACAAACAAAAATGCATTGCTTAGGGTTGTTGTGGTCCGGCACATAAACACGCCCGCTAAAACATGGCAAAAGTGACAGCTAAAATCATCAAAGAAATGCTCTACCTAAAAACACACCCTTGAACCCAAGTTATCCCTTTTGCATACTCTACCAGGGGAAACAACACGTTAAAAACAGCCATGTTTTTAAAATAATGGTCGCACAACACGCACAACACATGTGCTTCCAGCTTTTGGAAGACAAACACACAGTTACTCTAATGTGTAAAGCAGTGTCCCAATACAATATGAAACAATGTCTTAATAGACACACTCATTTGATAATAAAATCAACAATAAATGGAACAAGTCCATTTTAGCTTAAGGAAAAATTGATGGGTCGTATTAGCAAAACAGGCTTTACACCTCCATTATATAATCTCTATTCTGCATAGCTACATATGCAGTCAAATAATTTTCACATTTTTCATATAATTCGAACAAATTAGGCTGTGTTTACGTGAAATCCACATATACACCATAAAAGTTATATGGAAAGCATGGGAGAACATCGTACAATGTTACCCGTGTGCATACGCAACTTTTTTTGTAGCGAGACAATGGCATTTAAAACAGTGTTCCTTGTATGAGTGGGCCATACTGGATAGCGAGCGGCAACCAATGCGTTCCCTGAGCCGAGAAAAATTTAAATTTCGAAACAGTTCATTGCACAGCTTAGCACAGAACACAACGGGTAGGTCCTCTAAAAAACATTCAAAGCCAATGTTACATCGATTGGCAGCAAGGACAAGCTTGAAGCGTAAATAAAAAAGCTTGAAGCCTCTTTGAAAACTCGCATACCGCACAGCAAGTGGCAACATGTTGGGTGTCGTGGGGTTTTTTTTTTTTTTTCAAAGCATCACAGTACACGTTAAAAATCAGCAAGAACAATGTGAATACAATGGGCATCTGTGGTGTGCAGATGCCTTAAATAAATAACGCGGTAGCATAATAATAAATACAACGAAGCTAACTTGCACTGTGACGAGACAGGCCCACTTGGGGGACCAAGGAGACATAAAATTGCTTCAAGTCAAAGCGGTTGTCAGAGTTGCTGGAGGCTACTTTCATGTATTGAAAAATGACTCCTCACAGCTTCTTATACATAGTAATCTGAGACGTCTGCTTTCAACTATCACATTTCTTCAAGAAGCACCATGGAAAACATGGCCAACAATCTGCAAGGCCAACAACCACGCTTCTCGAAACAGCACCAGTGCCAGTGCAGAAAAGTGTGTCAAAGTGAAATGAATTGAAACCAACGGTTTCTCGAGATGTGATTAAATGAAAACGTGTTTCAAACCACGCAGCAGTCAATGACAAGCGCTTTGACTGAAGGATTGCTTATGTTGGTGTGTGGCACTCGCGAAGCCTTACAAAGTGACAAGATGTGACAACTTGTGATAAGTTGTGCCAAAAAGGGAATGAGCAACGTGGAGATGTTTCCGGTGCCTACCAGCAACTTGTGAATTGAATGCACACGACTGCCAGCGAACAACAGTCACTACGGACAATACAAGTATAGGTGGTGGAAAACTTCGACGGTGATTTGCGTGAAGCGTGCGCAAGTGTGAGCACAAAAGTGGTGGCCCCGCAGTGGCAAGTTGTGTTGCGTACGACAACGCAACCGCCTTATTTTTTTACACAAGTCATGACTGTGGTAGTTGGGATTAAGTCGAGCGTTAAACTTGCGTCTTTTTTTCCCCCTTCGTGAATGAGGAGTTATCAGATGGGACAGAATTCCTGAAGGAACACTGACACAGTCACCTACTCAGCTGGCCAAACTGACAGCTGCATTAGGTGGCCGAATGATGAAGACTAGTGGCTGTCAATAGTGTATTGTCAACGTGCATAATGACCACTAATTGCTAATAAAATCAGATGAATTGTGAACTGTGTGGCAATGGAAAAGTTTAAGTCCACTTTAAAATGAAGTTTTGCATTTTGTGCGGTAGGTGCTCACCCTTAATGATAAAATTAAGCCTTGAGTCGGTTTCAGTTCTGTGAGAGGTGTGTAAACATAGTAAAAACTTGGCCTAAATTAGTGAAATTGTGGAAACGCTTGGGAAGTTTAAAAATGTGCATCACTTAAAAATATGAACAAGAATTTGCAGATCTGATCCGTGATCTTAAGTAAGCTTTCAAGTGAAAGAAATGGTTTAAAAAAAAAAAATAAGAGGCCTGCTCTTGGCATAAATGTACATTAAAACCTGGGACGAAGACATGAAGATAAAAACAGTTACTAAAAACTCTATCTTACAAGTAAATCAAAAGTACCTGTTTTTAAGGCAGTGCACCACTACAGCACGCTTAAAAATATCCGGAGACGTCTTTCTGCAATGTGCAACTGTGTCAGTGTTCTGCCCATGCTCCAAACGCTCTTTAACATTTTGAGGTGTATCCTAACCTCCCCCGTTCACCTTCCTTGCAAAGCATCGCGTGACGGCACCTGTCCTCTAAGTCACACTCGCACATGCACGCAACATTGCTGACACTAGAGCAACCAAGGCTGCTTAACATTGATATTCTCAATCAATGGCAATTATTGTCACAGCCTGAACAAACAAAGGAAACACCCCAAAAATGTAAATATAGTCGGGGCACTGATGAGCGAAAATGGGGAGCTCCACGCACTGCTCTAAAAGACGCAGCAAATGCATAATGTGGCAGTGGACAAAGACTGCAGTGTTATTGGTGAATGGTGTGAGCAAATGGACCTTTTGGTGTAATGCTTTACGATGATGGAGTGATCAAAGGAAATGGCTTATTTGTGGGAAGGACACTCCTGTGCACTGAGTGTTCCTTTTTTCCTTCTTTTGATCCTTTGTTCGATAACCACGGTGACGGCTGGCACAGCACACACACACGCACGCTTGGCGGACGGCAAATCAGACAGCGGTGACCGTGAAGGAAGGGTCGGACTGCTGCTGAGATGATTCCTCGTCCTCGTTCTTGGCCTCGAAGATCTGAGAGAGACGAGAAAGGGGGTGGGAATGGTCAAAACGTTACACCGGGCTGATTTGGTTGCTTTAACATCTGCGCCATCGTAGAACGCATTAGAATATGCCCTGGCCAACCTGGCTGCTATGATGGAGAGCATGGGAAATGTGTTGTGCGTTTATCCCAAAGAAGGGCTAAAGACTGGTTGTCTAAGCGCACACTTTTCCACGACAACCGTGCAGCTCTTGCTTCTCAAGACTTGTGCAAATGAAAGAAAACATTTTTTCCCCTGAGTGTTTCTCACTATACATCTTATTCACGAAATGAACTGTTCTTGTGTTATCAGTGTGGTGCATAAGCTTGAAAGATTGTGTTTTGTGCCTCTTAATGCGACACTAATCAACTGCTGTTTTAATATCAGAGGCGCAGCTGTAAAGCTTTATTTTGTGGGAAGGGGGGTTTAACCCCTTTATTCCTGCTCCTCCATTGCTTAGTTTACTAACCTAAACTCAGTCTGACTGTTTACTGTTTCGTTAAAGTTCGTTCAACTTGCTTTGTCTGTCATCATGCAAGACCACTGTACACTCGTAGGGGGAGGGAGATCTCACCTGTGAGCGCGATCCGTGGGGGCTCTCCTCTAACCGTGGCAGATCTAGCCCCGCATTTCCCTGAGCCAGCAGACCCTCAGATTCATCACGACCCATCACGGTCGCCAGAACGGTTGGACCTGCTATGCCTGCAAACACCATTGCGACACCAAGTGGTTAGCTTCTATAAAAAGACGCGTCAAAATTGTTCAGCATCAAAACTTATGGACGTCTTGATATATCTCAAAGCTGCTGCCGCTTGCTGAGCACATAGTGTTTGTGCATCGTTTTCATACGTTAAGGTAAGATTAAAAAAAATCTAAAACTGTAGAGCAAATATGTGCTAAACCATCCCAAGTCATGCAATATTACGGCAGACTTATTGACAGAAATTTGTTAAGTAGAATTGCTTTTCGTATGATTGGCTTCATACGTTAATGCTGCAACCCAGTTTGTCTCTCAGAAAATCGAACTCTTTTTGAACGGAACATATTTTAGAGGAGCATTATGTTGCGTTTAACAAGAGTCAACTATACTTGATTACACCCTGAGAAAAAAAAATGTTGGCTCCGCCCACTGACATTACTGTTTCTCTCACAGGAAATTCACGTAAACACAAAAAAAGTCCATGCAACAGCACTTGATGATTTTCGTGAAATAAAAAACTGACCAAGTCTCCCACGTCCATCATGTCCCTGGTTTTAGGTCGAAAACTCGAACGTCCTAGTAAAGTTCATCAGGGAATCTGGCATTGGTTCGAGCAGAGACTGGCTAGTAGTTACATAGTTAAGGTTTGAGCGGAGACCTGAAGGGCAGGCTTTGTGGTTCTGCAGGCGGAGCTTGCATATTTTCTTAGGTTGTAACAGAGTATAGTACATTAGTGCTTGCTTCTACAAAGCAATTTTGTTTTATGGCAGTTCCAGCCATTGGTAGTACAACAGACTAATTACAAAATAAGCAATTGCAGCTTGTAACTGCACTCTCTCCACGGTCACAGACAAATGTGAACAATTAGTTATATGTCTTCTTAATGTTTAACTGTCCGAGGGAATTGTGATAAAAGATGGCAGGCACGCAAACATGGGCACAAGGGAGAGAACTCGGGACAACAGAAATGCCGGCTAACAACTGAGAAGGGGCAGAGTGGGCAAAGAAGAAAGTAGACACGAAAACATACCTTTGGTGGCGTTACCCCTGGTTGCCAGGCTTGGCGAGGGTGGCTGCTGAAAAGAGAGGGCAACAGTACAACTTGGCACCGTAATTGCACCACTTTGAAGAGAGTCCACATTGCCTAAAGTGTCGCCTGCACAATTTCGGAGGGGAAGGTTGAACTTCTGAGAAATTAACTGGCCAGTGAGAACATTATTTGAATTTGCTCAGTTGCGGCGCTTGAAGAATGTCGAGTACAACAGAATGTCGAGAGGCGCAAAACACAATCTTTTGAGCCTATGCACCACACTGATAACACATTTTGTGAATAAGATGTACAGTGAGAAACGCTCAGGGGAAAAAAATTTTTTCTTTCATTTGCACAAGTCTTGAGAAGCAAGAGCTGCACGGTTGTCGTGTAAACGTGTGCGCTTGGGCAACCAGTCTTTAGCCCTTCTTTGGGATAAACGCACAACACATTTTCCACGCTCTGCATCATTGCAGCCAGGTTGGCCAGGGCATATTCTAATGCGTTTTACGACGGTGCAGATGTTAAAGCAACCAAATCAGCCCGGTGTGACGTTTTGACCATTCCCACCCCCTTTCTCGTCTCTCTCAGATCATCGAGGCCAAGAACGAGGACGAGGAATCATCTCAGCAGCAGTCCGACCCTTCCTTCATGGTCACCCCTGTCTGCTCGGTTTACTTAAACACAGTTCTTGCGGTTTCAGACTTTACAAGCACCTTAATGCCACCACAAGCATCACTAATAACACATTTAACTGTAACGCAGCGTAGCTTCACCAGAGATAACATATATATACGATGTGCCAACTGATTTATCTATGGACACTGCCACAGATCATGAATGACTTTCGACACTGGTGCAGCAGCACATTGTCATGAAGGTCCTTTACCTCAGCAAAGTAAACTTGCTCTCAGGAAACCACTAAGTTTAGCCAACTGTGAAAGCGGTCGAAGTGGGCAAAAGAATTATTTACCTTTTCCCTGACTGCCACCACGTACAAGAAGAACACCAGCAAGCCCTGTAATTCAAAACACGAGAATTACACTTCCAGACAAGCTGTAAGAGTCTGTGAGACGCAGTTACGTAGAAATATGGAAGGATGATCCCTGTAAAGACAATGTGTGTCAGTCTATACATCAGCAGCAGCAGCAGCCTGACTATGCCCACTGTAGGGCAAAGGCCTCTCCCATGATCTGCCAATGAACCCGGTCTTGTGCTTTCTGCTGCCAAGTTATACTAGCAACTTTTTAATCTCATCCCCCACCTAACTCTCTGTCTCCCGTTCGTGCATTTGCCTTGTCTGGGAATGCAGTCGGTTACCCTTAATAACCAATGGTTATCTTGCCTACGTGCTACGTTCCCGGCCCATTCAGACCTACTCTTCTACTTTCCGTGTCCAGTTCAGTAATCATGAGCTGTAATTCGTTTCCCGAGTTACTCACCAAGGCAATGTCATCAGCAAATCGCAGGTTACTAAAACGCTCTCCAATAACCACTAACCCTAACTATTCTCAATCTAGGGCCCTGAAAACCTCCTGTAAACACGCTGTCAATAGCATTGGGGAGATCGTGTCTCCCTGCCTTACACCCTTCTTTATTGGGATTCTGTCACTTTCCTTATGGAGAACTATGGTGGCTGTGGATCTGCTGTAGATTTCTTTCAGTATATTTATGCAGGGTTCGCCGATGCACTGATTATACAGTATATGCAAAGTCTACACAAAGCACTCAGTCTATACAAATTCTTCACAAAGTATTCGGTCTATACAAAGTATATTTAAACCTAATTATAACGAAATGCATCTTGCATGAAGATAAGTCAGTTATATCCGAAAATTCATTGTAAAGGTATATTCCTAACATTGTACTTACTGCAAGACCAATTTACTTCGTTATAACCGATATTTCGTTGTATCCTGTTTCATTATATCGACTTTTGAGTGTATTCAACCCTTTATACCTTCTGTAGCTCAGCCTAATGACACATTTCACATGGACATTTGTACCGTTGAAAGCCGTCAATAGGACAATATTTGAATCCCTCTAAAAAAGCATTATGACAGCTCTAACCCCGTGCAACCTGAGGAAGTGCAGAGCACAGGCGCCCAGTGAATCCCATGCGTAGAATTCCCCTGCTTTGTTTACCAAAGCATCGAAGATGCCAATGTTTGACATAGGCATGTAGGGTTTCCCCGGCATGAGTAGCATCTTGTTAGAGAGATTCCCAAACTCTGTGTGCAACATGTGCACTATACTCGTTACAGCAGTTGAGATATGTGTCATCTGCAGCGAGTTCTGTCAGGTCGCCTTCAGATGTAGCGGTGAAGCGCCAGCGAAGAGAGGAGAATTCGCTGGCTCGACGAGATGGTGGCACTCTCTCTTGCGCTGGGCATATTCCCAAAATGTGCTTAGCAATTATCACTCAATTACTGTTATTACTTCTTAGTTATTTCCGTTAATTAGATTATTATAAACCTTCGTTCATTTTAATCCATTTTTGGGCATTGCCAGCCTCTCGTTATGGCCTGTATTGCGCGCTTTACCGAGCACAACCACACCACGGGAGATGCATGAATGGACGACATGTGCGCCCCTAAAGAAGATTTTCTGAGCTATCTGCCTAGTTATCTCTGTCATGCACAGATGGCACTACAGTGCCATATCACTTTTCATTGCAATACCACCAGCCAAACAGACTGCAGGAAACTCAACTTTGTCTTCTACTTCCTGAATTTTTTTTCTTTTTGGTTTTCTTATAAAACAGATAGAATATTTAGAATGCATTTCTAGAGCTAACTGAATGTGCCGACTGCTTAAAACACCAAATGGAAACGGGCGCCTTGGCAATGTCTTTTTTTTTTCGTTGGAGACACTGAAAGGATCAATCAACAATGCAGAGATAGTCGTGCGACCACCACTGACCAGAAGGCCCAGGGTGGTGGCAAGCATGTAGGAGCGCAGGCGGGAGCCCTCCATGTTGATGTACAAGATGCTTGTCAGTGACACCACCAGCAGTGCCACCAGCACCAGCATGGAACCCGTCAGGACGCTTGACCTGCGTGACAACAAATGTGGCGCGTCATTTATACAATTCTATCGACTAATGCAGCCAATGGGATTCTGGTCACTCCGAACAAAGACAGATTAATGCTCCTGTTTTTCAAGTGATACCAAATGAAATGGGACGAAGGTGTTAAGCAGCCCTGAGCACTTACCGGCTGCTGGAAGCCTGCTTCTTGGAAATGCCCATGAGCCGCTGACGCCGCAGCTCTCCGCGCACGGTCAGGAAGAGCAAGAAATGAAGCTGAAAGATGCTTAGCATGTAAACAGGTGTATATTTACGCTATAGCATATTCAGACACTGTAAGATGCCGAACAAGCGCCCCCCTTCCCTCCCTTTTTTGGGAGATCTGAAGTGAGGGCCAATGATCTCTGCTCCTCTGCGGCCAGTATTTTTCTGATGACCAGCATTGCTTGTGTAAGAAAAACCAGAAGAATGGGTACACTGTATCTTTTCATAAAATGCTTTATAGATAAAGCATTTCATAAGAAACATAACTGGGCACTCTTTAATTTTAGTGGCTACCTCGCCATCATCTTGAATTTCGGCCTGGAATTGAGCAAGCGCCCCCCTCCCAAATTAGGTCGGATTATCCTTCACCATTTGGGGGTGGGGGTGGAGCACTCGCTCAACACTTTACGGTATGCCTTAGGCACTAAATAAAAAATGTACAATAAGCATTGAAAGTTTAGAGATCGTGAAACATAAGAAAAAGCAGAATATATTCCCTGCTTCAGCCGGCAGCCCTCTACGTATTTAGATTCCCAGCCTGTTCTGAAATGTACTAACAGCATATGCTGCGCTGTTCAGCCAAATAGTCACAAGTAGCTGGGAAATTCGAACTTCTCTCAGACATAGTGGCCTCCAAACTTCTCATGCCAACTGTACACACTTTCAGATACATGCATAGAGAGTGATAGAGAGATATAAACAGAAGATCGCAAGCAGAAAGCTTAACTGCAATTCATTGCCCCGCCGCGGTGGTCTAGTGGCTAAGGTACTCGGCTGCTGACCCGCAGGTCGCGGGTTCGATTCTCGGCTGCGGCGGCTGCATTTCCAATGGAGGCGGAAATGTTGTAGGCCCGTGTGCTCAGATTTGGGTGCACGTTAAAGAACCCTAGGTGGTCGAAATTCCCGGAGCCCTCCACTACAACGTCTCTCATAATCAAATGGTGGTTTTGGGATGTTAAACCCCACAAATCAATAACTGCAAATCACACTTCTGGTTTACTACCCTACACCGGCTTGAAACGGCTCGAAACAAGCCTTTGGTGATTTGGGCCCCACAAGACAACGTAAAGACATTGTTCAGACAACTTTGCTGTCCCTGGGGAGGACAAAAATTGGGGCTTTATCTAGAATGGAACCCATGGGTATCAGCAGGGGGCAAAAGGGGCACCACCCTCTCCCCCTAAAGCTGCACCAGCACTTGCCCTCCACCCAAGCTACACCAATGCATTAAACCTCGATATAGTGAACTCAGATATAACAAATATCAGTATAACGAAGTAAATGAAAAACAGTCTTGCAATATCGTGTTAGGAATATACCACTACAGTGAAACACCTCTATAAAAGGCATGCTCTGGGCAGCAGTTCTTGTCTCTTATAAGCAGGGTATCTTGTATCCATTTTCTTATCAACCCGTATTTTATTGTAGGCACACTGGTGTCCCTTATACCCATTTGTCTCTTATACGAGTGTCTTTTATAAAGGGGTTCGACTGTATAACGAATTTTCTGGTACAACAAATTTATTTCCGTGTAAGATGCAACTTTGTTGTAATGAGGTATGTGTGCACATCCCACTTCGTCCAGCAGTGATGCAACGTGAGTTTGCACGCTCCCCCCAATACCTGCTGGCGCCCATAGTTGGACTCCTTTAGGAGACATGCAGCACGGAGCAGTTCTTGTCCCCTCATAAAAAGAGTACTACGTTCTGATTTTCTGATCAACCACTACTTCGATGCAGACACACTGGTTTCTCTTACGTCAGTGCCTCTTATAGAGGTGTTCAACGGCAACTATCGAACATGCGGCATAGCTTTCCCCAGTGCCCCTTCGTGCATAGAGTTACCTATAATACCCTAGAGGAAACTCTGGCGCTAGTGTCTACAGGAGCCGCAACGCACGCACTTCAGCGAGTATGGAAATGATGGGTAGCACACAAATTTGTCTAGTCTTCGTACTTTCAGCTTCGTTTGGCTTCGCACGTCTTGGAGCTGCTTTGTCACGAAACAACAGTCGGCAAATGTTCAGCCATTGGCCTTCACCACCTGGTCCTTTTAGGCTCACCAATTCGAATTGGGTCACAGAGTTCACAACGGTGTGTTCTTTTATTGAAACAAAACCAAAACGCAGCTGTAAACAAAGTCACAAGTGTGTTCAGATTTCGTAAGCACGAAGACTAGGCAAATCCGTGTATTAGCCATCTTTCCCACGGCCGCCGAACAATCGCAGCGCCGGAGTCTTCTCTAGTCAATTTTAGGAAACTCTATGCCTTTGCGTGCCCTGTTAACGCAAGTGGATGGCGCTCACAGCTGTGATGATGGCGAGGGAGGCCACGTAGGCGCAGAAGTAGTTAGACAGGTGTCCCGAGGGCGTGTACAGCGTCAGCCACCAGCTTTCGAGGCGGAAGCCTTCCAGCACCTGGGCAGCCAGGTTGGCTCCCACCACAATCACTGGCACGGCTGCAAGCAGAAAAACGAGAGGTAGACGAGCCGGAATCAACATGTAGGTTAATTTCACTGCTGCTCGCTTCAACCACCATCAGCGAAGACAGTAGTAGTCACAAGCTGTCCTAAATCAGCAGCCCTGCATCCCCCTGCCGAGAATCGGTGTAATCTAATAAAACTGTCCTTCAAAGTTTTGTTTTCAACAAAGAAGGAGATGGGTTGTAGAGACCGAAATATCCCGAAAGAAAAAGAAGCTTCTTAAAATTGAATTGTTCACATTTGCAGCTATTCTGTCACATTTTAATGTTACAAAATATGAAACACAATGATGATCATGCTCAAAATGATAATGACAATACTATTCTTTTTTCCCCCTTTTTTTAAGTTAGTACGGCCAAGTTCAACATGCAGTCATAGGCAGGAGTGAGCTGCATATGCATGAATAATCCAAAATGATAATGCTCGAAATAATGACGTTGATAACTTTCCGTCCCGAAGGCAAGGCCTTCGTCATTGCAGGTTCGCTGTCCAACAGTTTCCGTGGCGTGAAACCGTTTCCCAGTAACGTTCCCACAATTGCTGACAAACTGTGTCGATGGCTTACCCCAGCCCAGGGCAGCCACCTTGAACACGGCATGATGCACTGTGTGCGCGTCCACGACCTGCACGTACAGCACGAGCGCAACGCAGAGCTGCAGGCAGCAGGCCGCCAGCAGGCACAGTTGCAGGATCGAGACGACGTACGGGTACGCCCTGGGGGCCAGCCTTCCCTGCACGCCCTGGAGCAATGCCACGCACGCACCACACAGGGCCACGCACACCTGGGCGTGCAGCATGTCCAGACCGCAGCAAGAGCCCTGGCTGCAAAAGTGGGCAGGGAACCATTCGTGCCGACAATGACAGGCTAGGAGGCCAGGGCGAATATTCGAACGAATACTAGTACAGCAATACCAACTCACCTTAACCTAATCAACCAAAATTTCGAAGCACTTACTAAAGAGAGAGAGAGAGAGAAACATTTATTGTGTAAAGCTTGTCAGTGATGGTGGGAGGGTCCCTTATTTTAAGAACCCTCTGGCATGGACTGCCCGCCAAGCTCGAGCGACGAGTTGACACTGGTCGACCAGGTTCGGCTGGAAGATCGCAGCCTCCCACGCTTCACTGGGAAGGTTTGCGTTCACATCTGTTGCTGCTGCTTGTAGCCTTGGGACGCTTATTTTGCACTGTAGTAGGAGGTTCACCAGAGTGTCAGCCCTCTTGCAGTGAGGGCAGCTGTAGCTATGCAACGTTGGCCTCATATGGTGCAATAGTACGCCGTGGGTGAATGTGTTGCTTTGGAGGCACCTGTAGTCGGTGCCTTCGTCTCTTTTGAGTTTTGGATGTGGCGGAGAAAAAAAAACGCATATAGTTTCACTGCAGCGTGGGCGCACTGTGCTGCGAAACCACCAATCCAAAAGGCCTCGAAGTCACACTTCAAGGTCATGGTGCTTTCACCTTGATTCATTATTTTTTAAGTTTAAGAGCTTCTTATATGAACTTATGTGAGCTAGATATAGTAAATTCTAAAATGTACCGCATTTCGCGACTTGTAACTTGCACGCTACTGCGATTCAAATCTTGATGCTATTCAAAGTTGCTTCCACTTTACTTCGGCCCAAGCAAGGGGCATTCGAACATAACTAGTTCCAATTTGTAAGAATATTTTACAAGTTAGCTGGGTCATGACGAAAAAAAAGTTAACTTTGTTTATAATATGTGATGTATACTATTAAAACTATATTACTCAGAATTATTAAACCTGATCACTATTCACTTCGAACCTCAAATTTTCTATTTGCCCATGCCTACTGCTGGCCCTTTTCTGGGCAACTCGAGATCTACAAACATACTAATTAGATTGGAACCGCCTCATCATTGCTGTCAACGATAACTCACTCTTTCGCGAGCCCTGTACATTTCAAACGCTGAGCGGTGTCCTCCACATATATGACGAACACCTGATCAGTACTCTGGAGATCACAGACGCTGATGTTCAATACATAATTTGGAAAACCATTATGGTTTTCGTTGACACCATGATTAGACATCACATACAGGACATTTCTCTGGTGAAGTAAAAAAGGCGTTGCAGTTTTATTTCCCTTTGCACCAGTTGTAACCAGCAGTGGCACAGAGAAAGCATCAACCACTTTACAGCATCAGTTTACAGGATCGTACCGCTTTACGGGGTACATACATTCGACGTTGTCTGGCGTGCCCCACCGTCGCCAGAGGACCACACATCAACGAATGGTGTCTCGAGCTCTCGGAATTTCTACTTACGGTATTGTCTATAGCTCTGTGTTCGACAAGCCACCAAACTCTTGGTCCACTATTGTTGCAGTCTACCAGATACTGTTGATGAGGTAGAGTTCATATCATGAAAAAGCCTGATGTATCAATAACCACTTAAAACATACCTCTTCAACAAAAAGCGGAACAGTGTTAGAGTTCATGGAATAAATACGAATTGTCAAAAATTTTATCGGCGAGTACTTATTGTATATCATCAGATTTATACGAAAATACGGAGCCTCATAAGTATACGAAGAAGTGACTGCAAACGAGTTCTGCTGAATCCCTCAAGGTGGCGCAAGGGTTACGAAAGCAAGATTTGCAATCAGAACGACTTTTTTTTTGCAACTAAGAAACTCTTTCTGAGAAATCTGCATGGGTTTTTGTCGCTTCGTGCTACAGACAGCTGGTTGTCAATTTGACTTGTCTAAAAAAAAGTGAAAGGATGTACAGGAAAATGGGGAAAAAAAAAGATCACCTGCGCAATCGACGGCAGCACCGAAACAGAACCACAGCTAGGGTGAGCAGTACTAGCACCAGGCATACACCGCAGCCTAAGCCAGCCACCACATCGGTTACTTGGCCTTCCAGCAATTCAGCCTGCAAAGGCGTGGTTACCAGCAATTAGCAATTCGGTTTTGGTCGGTTCAACTGCAATACAAAAACTGTGGAACCGACAAGGCAGATTCTAGTCGCTGAGGCTCGTACCCAGAACCATTTCAAACTTGCAACATTCATTTGTTAGCCAGGCAACATCACTTTCAAAATCGCACACTGAATTGCTCACAATACAGCAGGCTCAATATGGTCAGCAAAAGAACATTTTTACATGACAGAATATTGGAAGACAGCAATCAACCAGGATGTGGAGAAGATTGGGAACTAAAACTTCACATTATATGGGCCATTTCACATTGCAAATCTTCACTGCAATTTCAAAAAATCAAAATTTGGCCCAAACACACTGTAACAATCAGTACCTGCTCCTTTTTTCTAGAATACACTCGCACGTCATTATAATGCAGTTGCATTTTACATGAAAATAAGTTCATTATATCCGAAAATTCCTTATAAAGATAGATTTCTACCGCTATTGAAAGAATGTTCTACATATACTGCATTATAACTTCAAAACTATTTCATTAAAAGCTCAACTTAACCCCCCCCCCCCCCCTTCTCCACTGCTCGTTTGAGAACCCCTAGACTATAGTACAGTAGTCTACAGTACACAATAGCTACTGGCAAGCATCTGCACACGGCCTACCTTCGGTTCCTCTCCAACCAGCAGTGCGTACATGCCTGGCCGATCACATGTACACCAGGTGTAGCTCCTATTATGCCCTCGTGACTCGGTGCGACACCCATCAAGCAGGAAGTGGACCCTGCTGAAAGCACGGTGTCACATGATGCTGTGCCCCCACCACATCATGCAGTCAACTCACAGCTAAATAAAATATCATAGCAGGTGGAATTGATAGCCTTAAAGTTTTATGGATGTAGCACCAAATTTAAAAGGACACTAACAAGAAACAATCACTTGGTTTAGATTGACAAAGTGCACTCTGGGAGCTCCAATGCCATACCACATGTTTCGCTATAATAAGTCCGTTATTAATGAAGAAAATCATGCTTGAAGTCTCACTTTTAAATTTCGCGCCAAAATCTGCTAGCGTGACGTGACGTCAGAACTTTCAAAATGTATTTCTAGTATTTTCGTGACATTGGCTCGACTAAATTTTCTGAAACTTCACATGTAGGCTTATGGCCCCCACGGATGACAATGTACTTTTTATCAATTAGAAGCTACGTAGGGCCCAGTAGATGCCTTCGAATTCTATGATGTCACAGTGTTTGGAGCAGGAATCTCAATGCGGTGTCTCCGCCCGCTCTTTCTTTTCAGGCGTTTTCTCGCATACCGAGCATTCTGTCGCGGCAAGAGTGGCGTTTTCGGGGTTCCGATATTGTACTTTACAAATACACAAAAAGTCATTTTGCTATTTAATGTTCACTTTAGATTAACTGGATTCACGATAATAACTCTAGAGGTAATCTCAATTCATTTGCTTTTCAGCTCCAACTGAAAAGCTGGAAGCTGGCAAATCCACAATTGACTGGTAATGCATGCAAATCAATTGAAGTGTGAACAAGTGATGCCATTTAGTTAAGCTAATTTGTGTATTGTGCCAAGTAGCCCTGATAAGGAAACTATCGATCGGCGAAGAAACCAGACCAAACACCATTTCTGGGTTCAAACTTCTTCTCTTGCAGTGCTAGCCTGCACACGTTAATTTTTTTTCTTTCCCAACATACTCCCGTTCTTCATAGTGTCGCTCAATTCCAGCCTGTACAATTTCTGTACTGGTTTTCTGAAGAACTTTCCATCTTGTCCAGGGTGAACGTCTGCGATTCGCCCAAGGGGCCAAACTCCTCTTGAAATGCCAGGTTCTTCGATTATCACCACGTAATTTACTCGGAGGCAGCTGCTAGGATAAGCTGGGTATAGGTGGAAGTGCCCGCATTTCTAACAAATACTCTTTTTTCCATCGCATCCACATATGATTCATCATCTTGTGTCAGTATCTCAACTTCTTGCTGATGTCTTTTCAATTAGCTTGAGTACTGATAGCATTACAGTCATTGTTGCTCTGCTCCAGAGGCGCTAACAATGAATGTCCAACAAGAAAATGCCCTGGACATATCGGATAGGGCTCTTTGGCGTCCGTATACGTGTAGTTCAGTGGTCTTGAATTAACAACTGCTTCTACCTCTAGCAGCATCGTCTCAGTTGGTTCGCTGCTGAGCTTGCTCTTTCTTATCACCTTGGGCAACGATGACTTGACTGTTCAGACAAGCCTCTCCCACCAACAGCCTCACCAAGGTGCACCTGGCACGATAAACTTCCACTCTATGCGGTAGGTCAGCAGAAAAGATGCGAATGGAGAGGTCTTCATGACACTTTAGATGTTCCTGAGGTCCCGTGACGCTCTCTTGAAGGCAAGACCGTTCTTCGAGTACATTGTTACGGGTACTCCTCTGCGAGCAAGAAACATCCGGAACGTTAGCAAGAAGGCACTGGTCGAGATCGCACTCGTCAGTTCAAGTTGTACTGTTCTCGTCGTCGCCCAGGTAAACAGCAGGATATAAGCTTTCGATGTGTCACCATGTAGCTCCTGTTGCTTTATATACAGTGGACCTGCAAAGTCCAATTCTACTGCATCAAATGGCCGTGACAAGAGAAGACAGTCTTTAGGCATCGGCGCATATTGCACATTCCCAGGTTTCACATTGTATCTTCGTCAGAGAAAGCATTTGTTGACGATTCGCTTGACTTCTCGTCAAGTGCGGATAATCCAATACCGCTGTCGTATTTGCATGATAGTGCTTAGCACACCACCATGCAAAGCTCTGCAGTGAGCCTCAGTTACTACCAGAGCCGTGAAAAGATGTCTTTGTGGCAGTACGACCGGATGTTTTTGTCATATGTGGTGTCCATTCTCTCGAGTCGTCCGCCAAGCCGAAGCTGTCCATTTAGGTCAAAGAAAGGTTGAAAATCGATCAGCATAGACTGTTTTGGGAGAGTGTATCCAAGCTGCAGTTGTTCGACATCCTTCGTGAATACATCCAGCTGAATATATCGAACCCAAAACATTTCAGACTTGCTTAGCTCCAGCTCTAGTGCCGAAATTGTTTCGCTGAGCGAGGTTTGAAGTCCATGGCATCGATCCACAAAGCGAAAGACCCACGCGGTGACGTGCAGGAGCTTCTGCGGGTCGCTATGCTTCCTTATATCTATCACCAGGTGCAAGTTCCTGGATGACGCTTGAAGAAATACATGTTGCGTCTCAATCTCTGCCTTTTCGTTTACCATTGTGTACTGGTTAGGTTGGGAAGGCCAGCTTGATTTTGGCTGGGACAACCATTCAAGTTCATACCACCAATAGCGAAGTGCACGTAGAGTCCTTATCGGTATTCCTTAGTCAGCACATCTGCCAGGTTGTCTTCGCCTGTGCAGAAGCACCATAGCGCTGTTTCAGTAACTTGCACTATTTCAGTTACTCTGTGCTTTACAAAATGACTCCACTTGTTAGGGTTTCCGCGGATTCAGCTCAGTGTGATCATGGAGTCCGTCCATATGACGCAATGGAAATGCTTGAAATCCCACAAGGAGTAAATGTATTTTAGCAATCTGGCTCCCACTACCGCGGCCATAAGCTCGAGCTTTGGAAGCGTTAATGTCTTAATAGGTGCCACTCGTCACTTCGCCCACTATCAGTGAAGTAGCCGAGTTCCCGCCTTCATCACATGCTCTCAAATAGGCACATGCTCCATAAGCCTTCAGGCTGGCATCGACGAATATATGCAGTTCAGCCGCTTCAAGTGCTCCATGCAGTCATGCAGTTCAGCCTCTTCAAGTGCTCCATGCAGTCCATCTCTCGCGCAGCGTGGAATCTTTATGTGGCCGAGCTGTATCACATTTGCACACCAGGCTGCCCACTGTGTCTTGATCTCCTCAGGCAATTCCTCATCCCAGGAATGGCATAAAATGCAAAGACGTTGAAACAAAAGCTTAGCAGTGATGGTGAAGGGCGATAGAATGCCAAGTGGGTCATAAATTCGAGAAGCAACCTTCAGTAGGCTACGTTTCGTGTCGAGCTGGCCAGCCACTAAATACTGGGCCACAGACGGAAAAAACTTGAACTAATCATTTTCTATATGCCTTTGCATTCCCAAGACCACAACTGCATCTCTCAATGCTCCTTCTACTTGCTCCTCCTGGTGGTCAAAAATGTTCTGCAGCTGATGGTCATTGGTCTTCCACTTTCTGAGGTTCATGCCAGCATCTTTCATAATTGCTTTCGACTGCTCATAGATGCGCAGGCCTTCACAGAATGTGTCTGCACCCACCAATAAATGGTTGACATAAAATGCTTTCTTTAATGTACAAGCGAGCTCTTTGTCTTCACACGCTTTATCTAAGTGACAGTGAATAGTTGCCATGAGCAATAAGGGGCTTGATGTTGATCCAAATGGCACCAGCGGCATGCGCCATTCGACGAGCTTACGATGTTGGCTTACGGAAATAGTCAAACAAGAAAAACCGGAATGCATTTCGGTCACTCTCTTGTATCTCGATTTGTAAGCATGCCTTTTCAATGTCGGAATCAGTGGTGAGAGAGAACCACCGAAAGAGAAGGACTTGCAGCAATTCTGAATTGAGGGTCACTCCTTTATCCAAGCAGTCGTTAAGCGATGGTACACCTTGGGTGTGTGACGATGCGTCAAACACTACACGCAGTTTGGTAGTTAACTATTTGTCTCTTATTACTTCCCGATGTGGCATATAATATATGGCCCGATCTCGATCTAGAGGAGTATCCTTAGGCACCACTTCCGCGTGACCCAACTCCAGATATTTCCAGATTACTGTATCATCGCTGCAACATTCCTTCTGTCGTTGATAGCCTCTGTGTTAATCTTTGTAGACGTGAGAGCGCAATTTCCTGGTTGTTCCCTAGAAGCGATTTCTTATCTTCCTTACAAGGCAATGCCACAGAGTGTCTGTCACTTTTCTTGCTAATAGTTCCATTATATCATGCAACAGACTCGTAGGAGAAAGCTTCCGCCAAATCTGCAATGCCCATTGCTTCTAGTTGCCAAAAAGATTGCAAGATCTGCGAGGTTGGTTCGTCATCACCAATTGCTTGCACTTTAAGAATGCAGACCATTAGGCTAGAGCTGCAGTCAAGAAAGGATTTTTGGTGGCTGGGTCCTTGTAGCGTCCATCCAAACACTGTATCGATTGCTACCAGTCCTGAAACTTCTGCACTCTTGACGATACGTTTTGACATGATTTGCCAGAGATGGTCAGCACCGATCAACAATCTGAGGCTATTTTCCGTTTCCGCATCAAACTTCTTTTCGTCCGCAATGACCTTGCCTTCAAGATGCAGGTTCTGAAGGAAACGGCTGTCAGCTTTCGGGGAAGCAATGTCATGACAGATAACTGAGACAACAATTGCGTGCACCGTGCAGGTGTCAGAACCGTGTTAGCTACGCAGGGGAACTTCTACCACATTCCGTCTTTCTACAGTACTTGGTGATGAACAGCAAAATGTATTCAGCGCAATTTGTGTTTCTCCCAGCACCTGTAGGTGTAATTTCTTGGCGGGATCTTCCGTGACGAAGGATTGCTGGCTCCCTCAGTCGAGAATCTCTCGGGCATACCTTGTGTTGCTGTTTTTGATGACAAAGGCATGAAACGTCTGTTGCCCCCGCTCAGTGAATCCTTGTCACACAGCATAACTAATTGTGACGACGCCATTTTTACTGTGCTGCCGGAGGAGTCAACTGGTCGAGAAGGTGTCATTTGGTTTGTTGCATAGTGCGGGTCGCACATACTTGATACGTGCCTCCCGTGGCAACTCAAGCGAGTTTGACGCGCAACGAACATGCCTGATGGCCTCGTGACGTGCATCAATAGCAGCGGTTGTCTTTCACAAGCATTCCTTTCTTTGAATCGATGGCAACGTTCACATCACAAGCAAGGGTGCCATGTTTATTCGACTTGCAGAAAAAACACTCACCCCAGCTGCTCGATGTGTTGTGTAGCACAAAAGCCGTGCTGGTGCTGCCGCTTCGAGTCCTCTGTGCATGGTCATACAGCGGTCGGTCATTAAAGGGCTTGCACTGCTTCCGATTTTCTAGCTCTATACGTTTATAGGTGAGCAGATCCTTTATATCTGCATCAGATGTAGCAGCTGCCACGCTTGGCTCAAAGACGTTGGCAGCAGACCCAGTTTTCTTTTAGTGCCTCACAGCGCTTTCCACGTGTATAGGCCAAAATGATGCCATACGGTAGGGCTTTCTGTAAAATGTTAATCAGCATAGCAGAAAAGCTAAGCGTGGGAACATTTAGCGCAGTTACATAACGGACATTCAGCTGCACAGCATCATAAGGTTGCCTGAGGCCGCAGACGTCGCTTCCCGACTTAACGGGAAGCGACGTAACGTGAGGCAGATTGCGAAGCGCTAATAGGTGGGGTGTTGCTCGATCTGTTTTTTATCTTCAAAGTGTTCCTTCAATAAATCGATGGCGTCTGCATAGCAGGCTTCGTAAGTCAGAAAAACACGTATTGCAGCAGCCACTTCACCCGCAAGGTAATCATGTAGATAGAAGAACTTCATTATTGTTGACAAAGCGCTGTTCAGGTGGACAGTTTGCTTCAACTGCTCCCGAAAAGCCGACCATTCATGTGTATCACCTCTAAATGTTGGCATGCCACGGTTCGTAAGCCTTAGGCCAATTCCGGTCGGCGTGTCAGAACGTGATGGGCTTGCGTTGTGAGGAGCAGCCGCTGCTGTACTGTCCCCGTGTTGAAAACCGTCTATGTTGCAGCGAATCTCAGCGAGCATGCTTAGAGCTTTGTCGTTATACTCTGCTGCGGCAACGTACTCCGTTTCGAGCTCCTTGTGCGCTAGGTATTCCTCGAGAGCATCATTAATGTTTGAGAGCTCGTTTTTGCAAGCTGACAAACGGTCATAGATACCTGTGAGCTTGGGCTTGTCAGCGGTTGGTTCTGTTAGCAGGTACCTTGCTTCCTGCAGGAGCTTCGTATTCTGGGCTCGTCGAGCCGATCGCTTGGTCTTCCGTGTTAAAGTCGATGAGTCTGATCTATGCCGATCAGGAACAATCCGTTACAGCCCTCGCTGCCCGCAGCACGACGCGGTCGAGTAAAAGGTCCCCTCAAGTCGTGCAATGAAGGAGACGTGTCCGCACGGGGAGTTTCGGCACCACGATGATAAGGAAACTATCGACCGGCGAACAAACCAGACTGTGCACCGTTTCTGGGTTCTAACTACTTCTTCTTTTCTTGCAGTGGTAGCCTGCACACATTTTTCTTTTCTTTCCCAACAAGCCCAACAACTAGATAGGAATCGCCCTTTCACTGAACTCGGTAACAAGATTCGTTCGCCTAGAACAACGCACAAGATTGAAGGGGACGCTCTTAAGACTTGCCAGCAAAAAAGCCTGCAATAAGGAAATATGACTTAGGTATTCCGGTGGCCACAGCTACACAACTACAGTTCACTGCATTGTTACATTGATGTCATGTGAAAATTTTCAATGGCAATTGAACCTGAGCAGGCTCAATGCCTGCCTTGGGTGACTGGGCTAGCATTACTACATACTTAAATGTTTAATACTGTTTTATAATCGACGCAGCACTAACAAAATTCTTGTTGCTGCCCCAAACCTTTCAGATCGAGCCAAGATTTCGGCTTTCTCGAACTAAAAGATCTGGCAGTTCGCTATGACACAACCTGCTACTCAGTGGAAAAGAAATCTAAGAGTAATGTTCAAACAATAAATGTAAACGCTTGAATGAAATCGCACGTTGTAGGCGAGAAGCAAGAATCACCTGTGCGAAAGGTCAGCGATGCCGCAGACAACCTCCTGGTCGGCCAGCTGAAAAAGACAACCAATGAAGAATGACGTTTCTATCTTGACTTGCCATAGCAAAGCGTACAAAATGGTTACAGGTGGTTCTTACATGATCGACACGTGACTAATGAATTCCCTTCAAAAACGCAGTGCATCAGAAACGTTTTGTAATCATAACTAAAGCCACACAACAACCAATGTTCATGTACCATGGCACAGTTCTCTAAAGACACAGACATGTAGAAATATTTTCCATCTTAACCGCATAGTATCACTTAAAGCAATGAAATAAGCTCCACATGCGTAGTGCTACATGTTCTTCCAGTCAAAATCGCAACTAAAATGGATATGTCAACACGTGTCACGGCACCAAAAGGGCATCCGAAAGGCGCACCACTGCGTAGTGTCGACACTAGACACTCGTAGCCTCAGTCATGACACGTGATTCTTGTATTACAAACTCTAGCACATTTTTACTTGTTAGTTCTCTGACGACCTTCAGTTTCTCGCGTGTCTCGACCACTCCGCGAGCCTTTTGGGGCCAATGTCAGGATGCTCTCACCGGTCTGATATGAACCAACTGGACTCGAATGCCGACTCCTTCGCTGCTACTGAGGGCTACGCTGATGAGGTGTGAATGAAGCTCGTGAGACCTCTCCTCGAGGTTCCTGAAAGTTGAGAGAAGGCAAACGTCTTCCAATTAGAGTAATCGTGTGCTCCCATCTCACCTCCAAAGGCATTCCAGTATAGTATATATTTAGCGTTTTAATGTCTTTTGCCCTCAGTGTTTCAATGAACAGTGTATTATACCATTGTGCATCACAGCCATGTTTATAAGAGACAAATGGGTATGAGAGGCACCAGTGTGCCTACAGTAAAATGTGGGTTGATAAGAAAATCCATACGAGGTACCCTGCTTATGAGAGACATCTCATATATAAGACAAGAAATGCTGATTATATCATGCCTGTTATAAAGGGGTTTAACTGTACAAGTGATTTTCTTAGTGCTGTAACTACCACAGTTTATTTAGTATAGCAATGCCGTTTGACATTTCCTCTTGCTAAATGCATTAGATTTCTATTTTTAAGAGTATCATGTGTTTGTAAGTGTTATACAATATGTTTCATTTTTATCAATTCCACTAGAATTGTGTACTTTTTTCCTCTCTAGATGTACAGTCGAACCCTGCTTCAACGAAATTTCCGCTACAACGAAAAAATCACAGTTCCCCGTCAGCAGTCCATAGGAGTCAATGCATAAATATTTTCGCCACAACGAACACTTTTCCTTCTGCCGTCCCGCTTCAACAAAATTTCATGATGCAATTCCAAACTCGGATATTTATTGCTATACAGGAAACCCAATCTTTAACACTTTGATGCATATTGAGAACCTGAAAATACGTCGAAGAAGTCTAAAACACGCGTTGGCACCACAAGAAACTGCCGCTGTTCAGCAAGCATGGACGCCGTCATTGCTCGATAGCGATGGCAATGAGACTGCCCTGCTCATGAAGGATGGCCCACCATAGCCCTGCTTTTGACACTGGCTTGCTTTCGAGCCGCAGACGATCCGAAGCTGAAGCTATGTCGCTCAGTTCATGGTTTCCTTCACGCAGCTGCTGCGTGCAACCGCGGAGCAACGCCTTTTCCAATTCCAATGCTTATCATTTTATTCGTGCTTGGCCAGTGTGGTACCTAATCAGAGCAGCCGTTCCTCTGCATTATCAACCAAATCAGCCAGCCATGAGATTCGGATGATAAGAGTGGCATAGAATAAGGCAAAAGTCACCGCTCCACGATACCATGCCTCCATCTCTGCGTTGTCAGATACACTTTGACGGCGGACGGCTGCTGGTGTTAACGTGTTAATGCAACTGTTTGGTACGTTCACAAATGCGGTTTTAGGCCTTATTTCACTGGTTTTCACCATGGCCTCGCTATGCATGACTGTGATTTGCGTCGTGACACTGCTGGGAAAGAATAGGAAGCAGTGGACACTTTTTTAATTTTAAGAACAAACATTCTTTTGTTTAGCTAGCTCAGATCAGCGATACTTTACCGATTTCACTACAACGAAATTCTCGCTTCAACGAAATATTTTCCGCGCCCCGTGAGTTTCATTGTAGCGGGGTTCGACTGTATATACTGCAAACGTGTATGTATGCTAGAAATGATGTTACTGCTACCATGTGAGGGCCTTCAGGCACATTCAAGCTGTATGACGCAGCTTTTCGCCTGACGGACCCCAACAATTCCATTAAGAAATGAAAACCTTTCCGATTCTGATTCACCATTCCTAAACGCCAGTTTAGTGGCACTACCAAATCCAACTGAAACCATTCCAAGGGCCATGTTTATATATCTATACATCATTTTGCTTTCTCCTGTAGATCACAGCTTACAATCTCTTTACGCGTCAGATTTGGAACCAAATTCCATACAGAATAACTCTACATGGTAGACCTTAATAATGTGTAGAATAGAAACCAAACAGAATAAACTCTGATTGTATGCATTATTCTCTTTACTGAACATCAAAATTTAGTAACTTCCCTGCAGAAAACTGGACACTGAGTATATTAATTGCAAAGAATTCATTACTAGTGAATAAGTGCAGCTCTGAATTATAGCATGTGTAGATATTCTGCCATACAAGAACATCCTTCCAGATACTATTTCAAGGCACAAGCAAAAGTGTTTTGATTGTTGCACATAGTATTGCATAAAATGAATTGTTTCCTTGGTTGCATGCATTATCCACCTAAGGCGAAACGTAGCCACAGCCAAAATGAGTTGCAACCTGCTGTCCGTTGTCAGGCAGCATCGAAACTGTAGGGTGGCGTAGACAGAAAACAAGGAATGACGTAAATGCTGTTTTGACGACTGGTATTTGTAAAAATGATATCACGTGTGCCGTTTCTACTCTGTAGGCTTGGGGCCCCTTCAAACATGGCTACCGTGTTGTGGCTCCCATTAGACACCACTGTACATGCAGTATCGAACGATTTTGCAATCCCATTCTAAATCGTAACACCAGAAAACAAAATATCTGCTAAACAGTCATCATTGGTAAAGGGAGCAACAACATTCAATGGGCGAGGTTCATTTTACTGATCCCGATCCCAAACTCCCTCTACGTACTCTTGTTGTGCGAGAAAACGCTCGGGCAGCAGCTCGTTGAGTGTTTTGAATAGAGCCACCGCAACCAGAAGCTCCTTGTGGTCACCTGTGGATGAGAACAAGAATTAGTGACAGACTCGATACATTGTGACAAAAACGGAGGTGACGTGGCATGACTTGCGTAACTGATTCATGCATTTATTGTGTTAGAATTTGCAAAGCAACAATGATGTAGCCATCACGGATGACGCAGTAGTAACGTACCTGAAGAAAAAAAGGTGTGACGATAGGCTGAGCACATCATCATGATAAAGAAGTCTGCCAAGACATGATTTGATTGATTGAGCGACTGATTACATTTAAAAATTTTGAAGTAAGGTCACAGTTATTAGTGCAGACCCAGTGGTAGAAAAAAATGAAAAATGCAACAAACATGGTCAGCACAATTCGATCTCGAGAAACCAAAGAAGGAATCATTTCACTGAATGACTGATTGACTTACCTTAACGTACCAAAGGACGTTAAGGTACGTCAATCAAGTTACGGTTGCAAGTTATCGCATGGTGGAGGGCTCTAAATTTTGACCACACGCATTTCTCCAATGTGAATGTAAACGTAAGTACACAAGGGTGCTCGCATTCTACCACCGTCATTATCTGGCAGCACTGTCAGACCGACAGCGCATTCCGCTTGGAACGTGCGATCGCGTCCTTATCAAGTGGCAGTACTACTCTCGGAGATTTGAACCTGCAGCGACACTGGCATAGCCGGGAGGGTGGTTCGGGGAGTTGAACGCCCCCAAGAAGATGTACCATTTGGTACGTGGATACGCTTTCCTACACAAACACATGCAGAAACACGCATAAAGCGAACACACTCCCCTACCCCACGAAAGAAAAGTTTTTGGCTACGTCGCTGGACGGCCTTTGTGGCACGTCATCTCGTGTAGCAAAGCAAGTGTGTTAAAAATCACAGGCAAAATCTCGCTTACCTTGGCTTTCGGGTTTCATACTGAGTTCCAAGGAGTTCCCGGCCCAAGCGGAAGTTGCAGCACCGGGCAGGGGAATGCGAACCACTGCCGCGTCTGGAGAGTGCCGCGTTATTCGTCCGAGGGACACCACTGAAAGAACGGTGTGGCATGATCAAAACACTCTGTGCTTGGGCTTGTGAGTATAATTTTTACTAGCATAGTAGGCGCACTTGCAAAATAGGCACAACCCCAGTTTGGTTACGAGAAATAGGGCTTTTTTTGCTTACGTGCATAATAGGTACACTCTGAACTTGGCAGTGATAAGTAGTACCGTATTTGCACGGTAGCAATTCGACGCTCCTTCACTTAACTGTAGTGAGGGAAAAATTAAGAAAAGAAAAAAAGACTGCGGCAGCACTGCAGGGGCTCGCCGAGTGAGAAAGAAGAGCGGCTGCCTGGGCGTAGGAGTAACCTTCACAGCGAGGCTGTGGCTGCGTGCACTTCGTTTAGAACATGTGATTGCATCCTCATCAAGTGCATTTTGAGTTTCCAGTAGGAAAAAGCGCTGTCATCGCATTCTCAACCTCATTTGCAAATTTAAAAGCTTTTCGGCTTTCCAGTGTGAACTTTCGCCTTTGCTGCCACTATGCAGACTTGACTAGCTCGGCGAACTTTTCTCGTCGTTGATCTCTCGGCCGCGAACTTAAACATCACATCACGTGTGCTGCTCTTGGATCAGTGCTTGAGTGCAGTATTTTCGACGCCCGATCTTCGTGCTGTCTTGTACAAACTTCTCGCGACAACCTGCCAAGCCGTAGACTAAGCCAAATCAGCATTTGTTGCTTTTCTGTAGTAGTTGCGGACGATCATAGCAGCGGTCTTGTACGGAATCAACGTAACTCTTTGTGGTGGCTCTACTTGAAAGGAGTACGGCATTGGTGGCGCTTGCAACACTCTAATGATGGTTGGAGGTTCGATTGCAATGTCTTTGGATACGGGGTGAAAGGCTGTGAAACGAACATTCGCTACCGTTCAGTGCATAACATTTCAATCGTGATGATGTGCATAATCTAAATGGCCGTGCATAATGATGTGCATAATCTAAAACGTAGTCGGCAAATTTCCACAATGGCGCTTTCTTGTCGTTTTTTTTTTTTTTTTTCACGTTCGTTCTGCCGGCAACAGGGGTCTATCAATGGTAATTTTTGGAAATTCGAATGCTTATAAGCACACCGCATTGCATGCCTCGATTCTCGGACACGTGAGACTGTATACTCGGCATGTTTTGCGCTAGTGTAGCCTACGAAGATGGTTCCGGCAGTAGTGGGGATATTGCGACTTCAGCGACTTACGTAATCAGCGGTGTACACTAGTTGGAAATAAAAATTTAGGAAATTTTACCCCGCTTTATAGGCACACCCCGAACTTAGCACCACATTTCCTGAAAAAAAAAAAGTGCACCTATTATGCGAGTAAATACGGTATCTATCATATTTACTCGATTGTAGCGTCACCACGATTCTTATATGACGATTGACTTTTCGTTGCGTACAGAAAGAAAAAAATACAATTTCAGAATTTTACTGTAATGTGAGGGCCAACTTTAGGTAGCTAGAACCTGGGAAAAAAAAATTCACATTACATTCGAGTAAATACTGTAGCTATGTAGGAGTAAGCAAAGCAGAGACGAATCATTGAAGATTATATATATGATAGCGTGCTCTCTCTCAATATATATATATATATATATATTAAGAGAGAGAGAGCATTATCCTATCAACATGAAAGTAGTACACTATAACCTCGATATAATGAACACAAATATAACTAAACATCGATTACAGTAAAGTAGGTGAAGTCTTGCAACAGATACAGTGTTAAAGATTACTTTTATAATAAATTTTTGGATGTAACAAACTTATTTTAGTGTAAGGTACAACTCTGTTATAATGCGGTTTGAGTGTATTTAATGGTAGGCGTTGTAGAGACACTGTGCCGACAACAGCCATTAGCATTAACATACAGAAAAAAGCACATGCCGTCTTCCGCTTCTTGAATCTAAAAGAAAACAAGTGCTCGTTTCATCTGCTACCTTGCAATAGCATTTTTTGCCCCTGTATTTCAATAAAGAAGAAGAGAAGGTAACAGACATATCACTTCAACATGTGTAATAAATGTTGAACACCATTATAATAAAGCCGCCTGCGACACTAAAAGGCTGTCATTAGTACACCCGGTATTCTTCGTAAGCACACAAACTCAAACCTGGATATAACAAACACAGATATACCGAATTATTGGTAATAACAAAGTAAATTAAAAACAGTCTTGCAATACACTCAAAATTCATAACAAAGGTGCATGTTAAAAAAAGTTTGTTATATTCAAAAATTCGTTATAAAAGCTTATTGTAACACTATCCATGGAAGACTATTTTTCATTTACTTCTTTATAAACAATATTTCGTTATATCCGTTTTTGTTATAATCAGGTTGAAGCAAGGTTTACCCATTTGGCATATTTACTACTACTGCCTCAACCATCTGCATTGCACCCACCCACAGCAGGTCGGTCGAAATTCTTGAAGCGGCCAGGGCTGAGTGCTGCTGCCGCCAGAAGCCCGAAGTGCAGTATGTGCCTCTGAAGTTGTTCTATAACCTGAAAGTACAACAATGCACAGGTACACGAACAGAATGAGCTTTCCTAACGTCTTTCCAATTGTATGAAATCGCATAAAAATGTGCCGTTACTTTGCCGGCTATTTATCGAAGAGGACTATGGAATCCTAATAGATAGGCCTCTTGCATATTTTGGCAGGTCTCTGCATTCACTACAAGAATAACTAAACAAGAATTTTCAGGGAGCACTCACGCACACCAGTGCATTTTCTAGACTCTGAAGGCTCGGCTTCTCATTCGACTCAAAAAGCAACTACATTTTTTTGTGTTTGAGTAACCGGTTGAATGTGGTCCTTCTGTTGTGGCTGCGTCTCGGTCAACCTTCTGCTCACCGTGTGATCTTGCAACAGCAGCGGCTTGCGAGCCAGCAAATGCGAAGCAACGTCCCAGATGGCCTGCACAGGAGATGGGAGGAGTGACCTACGATCATGTGACGCACAAACAAGTGACACGTTTTAAAGGAAGGGCGAAGCAAGAAAAACATCTTGAACTACCAAAGATTACAAATCTGCAAGATATTCACACGTGCACAGCTGCTATAATGTAAACTAAACTCTCTAAAGAAGTTATATATTCGCAGGAGAACAGTGACAATATGCGATCAACGGTAGTTGTACGTACAACGAATCTACGGAATTGTGATTCAGAAGCAGCAATGGTTCTATCAATAATCTCTATCAATAGGCAGAATAACGTTCTACGCTCTGTCAATACGCAAAATAATGACTGTCAATAGTACCACTGATAGCACACTAAGACTGTTGTCACTAGAATTATTAACAGTGCGTTATAATGTAAAATCATGTAAAGTAATGCATGCAAATACTGCAACAAACGCTAGGCAATACTTATGTTTCCCACTCTCGGAACCGATTATTTTAATACCGACGGTCAGCTCTTGCCAAGTTCCGGTAGTATGTGTTTTTAATAACTGATATTAGGTACTATAGATAGTCTTTTCTTCACTATTGATAATATCAAAACTATATTGTTTTTGTTCATTGTCGACTTGCCCACAGTTCAGTACAGCAATTGAGAAGCTAGTGTTTTCGCAAAAAATACCTCCCTTTCTCAGGACTCCATAAAAAACACGTTGCCTTGCGGGTACATTGGCTCCCAACTGAGACTTTGTTTGTTCATCTATTTTTGAGAGATAAAAACAAGTCTAATTTGTCCTAAAGCGAGTCCAAGTAAGTGCCATATGCACACTCACATCAGTTGCAGCTAGCGCAGGTTGTCCTCCATGTCGTAGTACTGGGTGGCTCAGGTAGTCTACTAGTCCTCCGAGAAACCTCACAAGAGGGCGCCCCTCGCCGGGCTGAAGCGGGCGCCCCTGAAGGTACTGGCGCAGCTCCAGGGACAGCTGCTGCCCCGAGGAGACCAAGTAGCCCATGCGCATGCTTTCCAGCTGAGGAAAAAAAAAACGAAAGGACAAAAATGAGGCAAATCCATGCACTAACTGTCACTCCCAGGCTGGCTGAACAACCAAATTTGCAGATTTTGTAGAGCAGGGCTCTCAAACTTGCCTCACCCGGCAAGTCACAATGAAGCAATTTAGTCCCCAACGGCTGGGGACAGAGAAGGAGGTAAAACCGGGGGGGGGGGGGGGGGGGGGAAAGAGGGCTGTTTATATATGTATAAAGTGCCAGCTAACGTTCTATTCGAAAAAAGAAAAAATTGTGAAGGAGATTTCACATTAGGATTGCCGAAATGTTGATAGTGGTCTCCTAGTGACCGATTGTGTAGATGCCAATCCGAAAATGTAGTTTTTGTTTCACAGTTATGCTTAAACACACGGCGACCACATGATGTGCTTCACGAAACCAACACTTCACACCGTTGCCTATGTAGCACACGTACTACTTACACACTTACTCTCTATTCGAGCGAAGCTTGTAATGATTTGATTTAAATTTGGGTTTAACGTCCCAAAATCACCATATGATTATGAGAGATGCCATAGTGGAGGGCTCCGCAAATTTCAACCATCTGGTGTTCTTTAACGTGCACCCAAACCTGAGCACACGGACCAACAGCACTTTCGCCCCCATCGAAAATGAAGCTTGCGATGAGCTACAGATGTCGGTGGCAGTGGAGGCGGCATTGTACTGGAAAACCGCAGTGGCTGTAAGTGTACAGAAATGCGACCCTCTAAAGTGCACCGGTTGTATGCTTTTTTTGTATGCACCATTCTTTTAATTAACCGACGCTCTCTCAATCGCGGGCTTGCCGACAACCAGCCGGTTCTGACAAGACAGTAAAACTGATGGCTGGGCAAGTTGGTATGAATTCATGTGCGCACGACAGAATCTTTAACATGGATCTGATACAGCAGCCTGATCTTGTATTGAGGTCGCTCGTGATTTCACGCGGCCACATTTCATCGTTGGCTGGACGTGAATGCCATGACTGTCGTTGTTGCTTGTAACAAATGAAGTGTTGCATTGCTAACTGCGTGGGTGGATGTCCGATTCCCAGCATGGAGAAAGGAAAGGTTAAGAGTGAGCATTGCGCAATGCTAAAAAAAACTGGAAAGGAAAGTTGTAGGTGAGGCACACATATGCCAAGCTTCGTTTGCACCCCCTTCCTCCACCCGTTTTTTTAATTAGTTACAGTAAACTATATGGCTTAATGAGCCCATCATTTCGATTTGACACACATGCTATAAGTAGGATGACGACAACGATTGGAGGTAGCGCCGCTTACTTTCCACTGGAGCTGCGCCAACCTCGCATCGGTGCACCCCGAGAAATCCGGGCTCCCCCACAGGGCCTGACGGTCGAGCGAGAGTCGACAGGGGCGCTCCAGACGACCCTCCATGTACAGCGGCTGTGGACATGCCTGGACGTCCCGCGAGTGGGCTGCAGTGCGCTGCCACTGGACACCGTGCGACTCCTCTGCTGGACAGACTTCCGCTGACACTGCGGGCACAGTAAGCAGACGTGGTGTTACACATTCGACAGCCGGTTTTGAAAGCATTTCCATCAGTACAATGGCCCAACCATTAGACCACAGTGGATTGAAAGACATTACATATCGACACACATTACTGTCTTTTGAAGCTCTGTTATGTAATCACCAATTCACTCGAAAAAAAGTTCTTATTAAGCATATTAGAGTCAAATTTTGTAATAGCGAACCTCACACTAACGACTTTTTCAGATTAACAACATTTTCGAAAATTTTACTTTAAATGTCTATTCGTTTACTGTAAATATATTTCACAACTACATATTTGAGAATACCAAATGCTTTTAAATTTAAAGGCGCACACGTTCTGTTTGGCAGCACTGAACGATCCTCTTATAGCGTGATACTTTTGCTTCTGTTCTAGCTCAAATATTAAGAGAATGGTGGCCGGTTTGGCCTTGCTGAGCTGGTCGTTTCACTTTTCTTTCCTCTTACTTCATTTATTTGTATTTAATTCGTTTCCAATATGAAAACTAAAACAGAATCAAAGATATCGGACTGTAGAAGGATCATGCAGTGCTGCTAAACTGGGTGCGCACACCTATCAATGGCAATGGCTGGACAGTGCGCACTATACTTTTGCTAATGCTTGGGCCAATCACTCCAGTGTTTGCATTTCATTGAATGCCTATGGTAAGGCAGCAGAGGCTGTTCACAAGCACGAACCACTAGAACTCGAAAGCCGCCCCGCCACGGTGGTCCAGTGGCTAAGGTACTCGGCTGCTGACCCGCAGGTCGTGGGATCGAATCCCAGCTGTGGCAGCTGCATTTCTGATGGACGCGGAAATGTTGTAGGCCCGTGTGCTCAGATTTGGGTGCACGTTAAAGAACCCCAGGTGGTCGAAATTTCCGGAGCCCTCTACTATGGCGTCTCATAGTCATATGATGGTTTTGGGATGCTAAACCCCACAAATCATCATCACTCGAAAGCCGGAAGGTCTCACTCACCGTGCGGTGCGAGCACAGTGATGAACGCGTCGGCACGACCCGAACCTAAGGGGCCCGTCGCCACGCAGGTGTAAGTGGCCGAAGACCTGGCTTTTGCCAGGACGAGACGCGAGCCGGCTGGGTAGAGATCCTCGGTGAGCTCTGGGCTTCGAGGCGGCAGGAGGCGCTCGTTGCGCAGCCACCGGAAACCCAGGGGACTCATGCCCCCTGCGTGGGGGGACAGGCAGCTCAGTTCGAGTGGCTGGCCCTCGAGGAGTGTCACTGCCAGCGGCGACACCAGCGGTCGTGGCGCCACATCCAGGCGCACCCGCATGCTCTTGTTCTGCACCGCTCCCCAGTCGCTGACCTGCAAACGAAGTTTGTTAGACGTTGTGGGGCTTCACACAAGCACGGCATAGTTAGAGATTCATAAGCATAGATGCATAATCTTTGTAAATGCAAATGCAGAAGAGACGTACAGGCGCTTACACTCGTCTTATGTAGGTGTCTTCCGCGCTTACAAAAGTTATGGATCAATACCAACAAGCGCGATCCCAGTGCCTTCCAAGGCATAAACAAAGAGGTTGATAGTTCAGCTGCTATGGCGTCGTGTACACAGTAGCACAATGAGACCTAGTGTCGTGTCGGTCACCTTCGTTTGTCTGTGTCTTTTATCACCCTGCCGTGTACATGACAGTTCTTCAACCAAGTTTCTTTTTTTTATTAGCAATCTGCCTTTCAGTATTTCTGCTGTAACTACAGTGAAACCTCAATATACCGAAGCTGGATATTACAAAATATCTGTTATAACGAAGTAAACAAAGAGTAGTTTTGCAATAGCAGTAGTGTTAAGAATACACCTTTATCATAAATTTTTTGGTTATAACGAAGTTACCTCATGTATGATGAAACTTTGTTATAATTAGGTTTCAGTTTAGAAGCCACTGAACCACAGTTATCTTTCTAGCAATCAAAAGAGCTCAACATCCTTTTTTTTTTTCAAGGGTGCAGCTTCATAAAATTGTATTTGCCGAACTACTGGTGGGACATCATCCAAAAGTGCATAATGTTACCTGGCACGTAAATACACCGCTGTCGAGGGTAGTGGCGCGGTCAATACCCAGAAGTAGGGTGTACTGGTCTTGTTTGTTCTTGGCAACGCGAGAGGTCCACAGGGAGCGGAAGGGAACTTCGGGATCCACGGGGAAGCCATCCTTGAACCAGTGCACGGACAGAGCACTCGAGCCCACCGCGATGCAGGCCACCATCAGTTCTTCCCCCACGCGAGGCGTGTGCGGTGACACTTGCATCATCTCTATGTGCATTGCTGCATAAGAAAGAGTAGTGAGCAATTACTTTAACCATTCGACGTACCTTACAGGCCCACAAGGGGCACTGCGTAAGGGGAGTATAAAAAAACGTCACATGATTTATAGGTAACTCTGAGTTGGGCCATAATAAGAAATTATTGTTTATATACAACGAAGAAGAAGCAATAAGTTCAAGCGTGCAAGATAATGACAATATTACAAGCAGGCTGCAAAAGGTAACGTCAGTTCTATGACACAATATTAATCAGAACTAACAGATAGTAATGCTAGGGAAAGTATAAGGATGTAACATCCCTTGTACTTTCCCTGGCATCATTGTCTGTTCTCATTAATATTGTGACTAACAAAGAAAAATGAGCCCCTAAGATTTCGTTTTTCTTCAGTTCTATGAAGACATGGAGTCATACCAATGCATTTTCATTTGTTCCTCTGTCTAAAAACAGAAGAAAAAAAAATCGGAAAAAAGGTGGTGAAATCATTGAAATGACTTGGTCTGAATGCAAGCGCTACAAAAAGCCTTGCTAGTTTCTACAACATTCCACCTGATCTATGAAGCTTAATACAACCAACAACCGCTTTTAAAGACTCCCACCTGGCTCTTGGCTAATCTGCAGGAACTCTCGGTCGACGGCGAAGGGACCAAGCTTGCCTCCCTTGAGTGCTTCCTCAAGAACCGCCTCGACAGTGGATCGCTCTTCCTGGCGACCAAACAGGTGAAACTGAACCACAGCGTTCTGCCTGAAAGGGATCAAGCAGCCCGTTGGCGAAACGATGAGAACATAAGCTCAGTTTGTAGTTACCCGCCACAGTGGTCCAGGGGTGTGCGACTGCTGACCCAAATGTTTTGGGATCGAATCCCGGTTGCAGCGGCCATATTTTCGATACCTAAGGCTCATGTGCCTAGATTTAGATGCAGGTTAAAGAGCCCCAAGTGGACGAAATTTCCAGAGCCCTTGAAAGCGGCATCTGTCATAATATTTTAGTTTTGGGATGTTTAACCCTTGCAATTGTATATAGTTTGTTGTTTTCAAATATGTTTGAAGAAGCACACAATTCTGCATAAAGTGATACATGCCTAAATGAAAGTACATCGGCGTTTCTGTAGGACTGTGGGAATATTGAAGTGCTTTGCATATTCCAATCAATATTGCACTAGTTGAAATGAAGAAGTAGACTTATTTTGCCACATGTAACTTATGTGAAAAGGTTGTTTCACTCCAGCATAGGCACACTTAAGTAAAATCAGCTGTTGAGAAATTTGAGCCGCCACATAACCACAAAGTGTGGTTTTTCAGAAGAAAAATCAGGGTGTTGCTTTCTTGCTAAGTTTAAAAGCATGTTTTATATGCTTATAAGAGATAAGTGTGGCAAATAAAAAAAAAGCAATGTATTTTACTGCCCATATTTTGCATCCAACTAGTACAACTGAAATCCTGCTGCCACTGGGATTCGCAGTAAAATCATTCGATAATAATTCACATTTGCTTTGACTGCATCCAACTAAGAAAGTGCGACTCGCACAAGCAGAAATTTTTGTTTTTCACATTTCGCCCTCATCAAAATGTAACCGCAAATCCTCCAGAGCATTCTGCGTTTACAATATTTCTGCAAAAATATAGCTTGAATGTCATTAGGCAAAGCAATTTATGGCTGTTTTTTATATTAAATTGTAAATCCCTCAACATATGGTTCAGCTCACACCCCAACTATAGATCGGCTGTGTTTTCTCACTATGTTAAGAACAGGTATCAGGGCCTCTTTAATCTTGCTGAGATTAATGCCACACAAGACATTTTCTGAACCCAACAACTGATTTTTCTTTTCGTCAAAGTTTACAAGCTAAGTGAAACAAAAGGTGAATTACTGAAGAAAATTAGATATCACATCTCAATAGCGCTGCTACTATCCTCAGGTCATTCAAAGTGATTGGATTGTTAGGACTAATACAAATGCTGAAGTATAGCACATCAAACTTTTGATTACAAGGCTTGTCTGTGAGCAGCTTGGCGAACTTACATAAACTGTAGCACGGCCAAGTTGTCGAATGCTTTGGTGTGGCTGGCAAACAGTGACTTCAACTGCACAATTGAAAAAAAAAAGCAAGAAAGACTGTAAGGCTTAATGAGAAATCAGAATCAACTGACAGTGAAAGCACTTCACACCTGGAATTCGACTATCATACTAACCTTCTGAGCTACACGTTTATCAAACTTGAATTCATGTACAAGTCGTGACCCTTTATCTCTTCTTGGTTCCTGAACACTATGTTAACTCCATGTGAACACTATGTGAATACACTCAAACCTCACTACAATAAAATTGCATATTACATCAAAATAAGTTTGTTGTATCCGAAAATTCGTTATAAGAGTATTTTGCTTATACTATATCTATTGCAAGGCCATTCTTCATTTACTTTGTTACAACCGATATCTTGTTATATCCAAGTTCATTATGTCGAGGTTTGAGTGTCTACCAACACAGTGTGATGTTGGCGATGTGGCTCAATAAAAATCTTTTACTCTACTTAAAAGTTTTTCAGCTTTCTTGAGTCAGTAGGTTGGAAACTTCAGAGATATCCACTGACAAAAAAAAAAATCTGAGAGAATACATGGTGCAACATGAGAATGAGCTGACAAACATCAGTGTTACGGAGTTGCCACTCCAGAATTGGAATGACACTGGAATCATTGCACATTTTCGCGACCCTGGAATGGAATGGGAATGGGGACAATGCTTGGAGAAATGAAATGGGAATGGAGTTCCATCTTTTTCTGAAAATGGGGCACGTTTTGGCACATGCGCTCTTTTTCAAGCTTCACACATCGGCAAGTCAGAGCTTCGAATTTAACAATGAAGCATTATTTTTCAAAAGGCTTGGCTGATTTCAAGAACGGTACATTGATAATCAACGCGCCTACTACAATTGTGTCGTCATATACTTGACTCTGTCGCTCCGAAGCTTGTCTCCATCCCCCGCATAACGGCGGTTCTATGCCGTTAGTATCCATCGTGCGAAAGTGCCCCGGCGGGTAGTTTCGCACGATGGATACCAACGGCATAGAACCCTTTTTCTTTGCATTCATTTTTTGCTAGGTTGCTACGACTCGACACATCCCGTGTTCACATAGCCAAGCAAAGAGGGCATAGCGAACTTGAACTTGTATAGCGCATTACGGGGAAGAAGAAACGGCCGAGCAGACCGACACAAGAGGACAGAGCGCTAACTTCCAACTGAGCTTTATTGCCAAATTTCATCAAATAAGTAGACCGGCGCAAGCGTACAAAACCACCCTAACACAACGACAAGATAACACACAACATCACACCATCACATATCACACATTCATAGGCGGTTACTCTGATTAAGGAAGGCCACTTCATGTTCAGATAAACCCAAAGAAGGGGCGCTAATACACGTGCTGCCAGCTTTTGCTATACAATGCGCTTCTATAATTTCCCAAGTTAATTGCGACGGGTGCTTTTTTATCACTTCACACTGGTCAAACATGGGGGCCGTTTCTTCTTCCCCGTAATGCGCTATACAAGTTCAAGTACGACGAACCAACTCGCCCAATCTTCAACACTCGTGGCATAGGGAAGGAACGTATTTCGCTACACCTTTAATTGCTACAACTGAATGCTCAAATTAGCCGTAGAGGCCTGTGCATGTATTTTGGAGGTCGAAAGCCACACGCAATCTCTAGGTCCACCTTTAGTCAGCCAGAGACAAGGGTAGGCGTGATGCAAGTGTGATCGATCTGCCGATTTGTAAAAGAGAAGCTGGGGCTTAAGTTAGTGTAAAAACAAATGCATTATCCCAGCAGATATTGAAGAAAAAACACTGTGCATTAGTTCCCATCGATACCACCCCACGACAAGAAGTGATGACTAACCAACTCACTGCATCTTCCAGGCCTGCCTGTAGCTGCGAACGGCTCTTTGAATCTAATCGGGCAAGGTCAACGAATATGCGAATATGTACTCTGTGCACAGCCTAATTTTTATGTCTTGAGTTTAGTACATAACACATGTGAAGACATTGCATGCCTGCGGACAGGCGAACACAGAGTTCTCCCCACCTCGTCCATGCTTGCGAGGTGCGCTTGACGAGTGTGAGCCCTGACAAGCAATGCAGCCCACTGTTCTGTATTCAATGCAAAGGCACAAGGTGCCCGAGTAGTGCACTGTTCAACTGTAATAACAGAACACCTGGAGGGTATTTGTTCCTCGGCCACTGCTAGGAAAACACGCCGTAAACATGATCGATCTTTGACACCCATATTTGCATGAAGTAATGCTTACAAGCACAGTTATTTTCTCGGACCAGTCGTAGACTGGAATTCACTGCCTTGGGAGATTTTTTTCGACTGACAATATTGCTACATCGCTGGAAAGTTTGGTGTTTAACGTTGAAATGTGTTATAAATCTTGTTGCTGAATCATATACTTGGGACCTCTGCTAGTGTATAAATGCATGTTTTTTGCAACAAATTCACGCTTTTTTTTATTTTTTTACGTTACAAGTCACTTTGATGTTGTTTTTTTTTTTGCCTCCCCCTCCCCCTCCCCCCTGCTTGTACCAAAATGATGGTCTGCTGTATGTCTAAATAAATAAATTAACTAAATCTTAGTATTCTTCATATTCATGACCACTCCAGAGTCCGGATGCGCGGCAAAACGGCTTAGTCTTTATTTTTCAGCATAAAAATATGCTATGTCGTCATTTTAACATAATTACATTAGCAGAAACAATATTAAAACATCACCATTCGTTCACGCGTGCTGACCATGAAAATACTATAGGTACCGGAAGAACTGCCCCCGTGAGAATTATAGTAGGGCGGTTGTACTGCATGAGATACTACGTCGCCAAGCTATTATCCCTCAACCTGCATATTTTTACAGTTCTCGATGCATCTGGCGACATTAACTTTATGAGGTGTTCATTCTTAACTTAATAAAACTATCAAGATACATTTTTTTATGTTGAGGAATCAAAAGAATATAATTTAAATGCCCAGTCATTCCCAGAGTGGGAATGGTCTAAGCTTTTTTCATTCCAAGGAATTGAAAGGAATGCAATTACGGCTAGTGACAATTCCCTGAAATGGAATTGGAACGGAATGAAGGTGCTCATTCCGCAACGCCGACAAACATCACATGCACACACGTAAGCTTTTGATTATTGCTTCACTACGCGAATGAGATGAAATCACGGAATTCGTATCGCATAAGGTTTGAGAATCGTAAACTCTTATGACAATCTCCAAAGCTTTGGTGCCAATAGGACATTACACTCATTTGATTAGTGCACACAGCTCGTCAAGCGTAAAATATCAGCTTGAGTTGATGAGAATAAGTTCAGGAAACTCACGTTATACAAGATAAATTGAGCACAATGAGATGTGAGCAGGGATATTTGTAACCACCTGAAATTAGTACCTGTCAAGCACAATTATATAGGTCGTTAGGACAACAGACACTTTTAATGGAAATACAATCCCTCTTTAAAAAATCACCCTATGCACTTTTAAAGTGCACATAAGTATGCCAGTTCTGTTTCTAGAAAAGAAGTGAGGACTAACTCACTGCATCTTCCAGGCCTGCCTGTAGCTGCGAACGGCTCCTTGAATCCAATCGGGCAAGGTCAACGTTGCGGTCGTAAAGCTTAACTTGAACAAGAAAACGGGTGCGACCTGCGCAAAAGAACATGCCATTACAAACACATTCCGTGACAAATAGAATGCGATCGATAATGAGAAAGCTTTAGGCAACCAAAAAGCAAGTGAATAAATGTTGCTGAAAAAATGGGGCCAGTGTCTTGAAAAAGGACCATTCCTTACTGCAGTTATGCCATTAAAATTGAATAGAAACTCTGCACACTTCACCTATGCCTAAAATCATTTTGCAAACTATAACACCAATCCTAACGTCAAACATTCACCTTGGGACAGCTCCGCATTTTCTATGAAAACATTATGGACGATCAGTGCTTGCTTTAAGAGGTTTTTACATCTGCACAGAACTTTTTCAAGAGTCATATACGATCTAAAAAAAAAAAAGAAGACTGTTTCAACAGAAGCAGGAAGTCCTGTCAAATGCTCATCACATCACGACACTGCTTAAATAGTTGCAGATGACCATTTAATCAACAGTTATTCCTGTGCCTGTTTTCAATAATCTTATCCAAGCTCAACCCGAGACGCCATCCCCACCGCCCTCTACGCGCAGAAGCATGTACAGAACTGGAATGTGAGTTGAGTTCACACATGCAGCATGTTGTCTTTTTTCACATCGCTTGGTTTAACTTGTATCAATCAATAAGTCAGTGAGTTTTACGTTTCGATTGATTTCACATTTAATCTTTTCGGTGTTGCCAGGTTATACTGTGATAAGATTGCATACCACAAGACGGCTGGTGGAAAGAAAATAGTGTATGGTGCTCGCCGCCATGGTTGCAAGTGACGCTGGCTAGCATGCCCAGCATTACACTCGCAGAAGTTATTACACTTCTAAAGTGTACGAGAAAGCAACAGTCGCCGTAGCACAACTGATGGAGTGTTGAACGCATAATTCAGAGGTTGTTGGTTTGGTCCTGACTGGCACCCATGTTGCTTTCTTAACCACTTTCATTCATTTTTGTTAATCATAACTAGAACACTATAGTTAAAGACTGCAAATAATGTTTCCTAGCTTTCTTTGCCTTCACTGTCTGTGGTCTTCACTAGGTTGTGAAACAAGGAAACAGGCCCTTAATCCACTTCTTTTCCTTAATACTACACTTTCTCTAGTTTCACTGTCTGTTTACTTCACACAGTTGTAAGTTAGACGGAAATAATCTCGCCGTTCTACAACACAGGAAAACCACCCACTTGCAGGAGAACAGGTGCGGCCGTCATCATCAAGCCTAAAGCCAGAATTGCACTCGCAGTGAGGCTGTGGCCCTGCTTCGGTGCAAAGCTGGGTGCAGTTCAGCTGGTTACAATCTGCAAAAGCACACAGATATGCAAGGATGAGTCAGCACTTCACTGATAGTTACAGATATACTATCAGTAACCTTAAAGGGTAGTGATAGCATACTGTGACTTCTGTAATACTACACTGATATGTTATCAGTACCTTTGAATAATACTAAGTAACCTGAAGGGTACTGTATCAGCACCCTTAAGGACATTAATGAGATATCAAATAGTAAGTGCATAGAGTAATATATTTATCCTTTTCAATATGAAGGAGGGAGCACATTGGCGGTAAACAGCAAGGTTTGTGGACAGACGTCACTAATAATTCAGAAAGGCTTAGGTGAATCGTTGCGAAAAATCCATTGATAAACACAGGAGTCGCAAATTTCGCTTCAACCTGTCAACCATCTGCATGAAATGCTTTGGTGGTAATTTTTCAGAAATTTGTAACTAATTTATGGAATACCATATCATCTCTACTGGCAACTGTAAAATAAAGCATCTGCAGAATGCAGTTTTGATACTATGACATGGCATTGCTATTCAAGATTACCATTATCACAATTCGATCAGAGTACATATTGTTACGGTGCGATGGATGCCTTTATTTACAGGAGATGATCAATGCGAGAGTCCAGGGATCTGGCCGATCACTGCTCGTGCCAACCTCGTTCTCCTCTTCTTCCACGCGCATCCTCAGTATCGTAGCAATTCCCCCTTTGCAGACGATGCCCACCGGGCGAGTTAGGCTTCGTTGCGATGATGATAGCGTTTTAAACGGGCAACATGAACGACGTTGGTCTTGCTTGAGCGGCGGCCAGTTGACAACAGCTGAGATATCACGTACGTGACATCGCTTAGACGTTCCAAGACAACAAACGGACCGGTGTAGTTGGCCAGAAACTTTTGGCAGAGGCCGCGCTTGCGAAGCGGCGTCCAAAGCCACACCAAATCCCCTTTCTCAAACCATACGTGCCGGTGACTTCTGTCGTAACGGTTTTTGGAGCGTTTCTGTGAGACGAAAGTTCGAAGACAGGCGATGCGCCGGGCCTCTTCTGCGCGGCAAATGGTTTCGGCGAGAGTAGGTTGATCAGTCTCGGAAAAGGAAGAATAGTGTCAAGAGCTGTGCGGGGTTGGCGTGCGTAGAGCAGATAAAATGGACTGTATCTCGTTGTTTCGTGCTGTGCCGTGTTGTAGGCGAAAGTTATAAATGGCAAAATCGCGTCCCATGTTTTGTGTCCAGAATCAACATACATGGAAATCATGTTGACGAGAGTCCTGTTTGTTCGTTCCGTCAAACCATTAGCCTGCGGGTGATACGGGGTAGTGTGACGAAAATGGCACGAAGCAAGACGAAGGAGGTCTTCAACTACATCGGCAACAAATTGCCGCCCGCGATCACTGATGATGACACGGGGGGATCCATGGCGTAATATAACGTGTGACAGCATGAACTGTGAAACTTGAGTGGCCGTTGCCGCAGGAATCGCCGCAGTTTCGGCGTAACGTGTGAGGTGGTCAACGCCCACAATAATCCATCGGTTGCCGTTCGTTGATCGCGGAAAAGGGCCGAGCAGGTCGACACCTACGACGTCAAATGGTGAACTCGGGGGTGCTATGGGATGAAGTAGTCCGGCTGGCGGAGTTGTAGGACGCTTGTGGCGTTGACATTGCTCACAGATCGCAACGTATGCAGTCACACTTTTACGCATCTTCGGCCAGAAGAAGCGTTCTTGCGTGCGATAAAATGTCCTAGAAAAACCCATATGGCCAGATGTTGGGTCGTCGTGCATTGCTCGAAGTACGTGTTGTCGAAGACTTGTAGGCACAACTAGAAGTAGGCGAGGGCCTACGCCGGAATAATTCTTTTTGTAGAGAACGCCATCCTTTACGACGAAACCACGTTGACCGTTCGTTCCGGAAATAAAGAAAGAAGCGAGACTGTTGTCATTGCGTTGCTCTGCTCGAAAAGTTGTTAGGTCGGGGAACGGAGTATCCACTACAGCCAAATATTCATCAAAGTTGTCAGCGTCACACTCGGTTGTCGGAAGGGGAAGTCGTGAAAGGCAATCAGCGTCGGCATGACGACGACCGCTCTTGTAGCAGACTTCAAAGTCGTGTTCTTGCAATCGTAATGCCCAACGAGCAAGACGACCAGATGGGTCCCGTAGTCCAGTGAGCCAACATAAAGAATGGTGGTCCGTGACAATCGAGAATCTGCGGCCATAGATATAAGGGCGAAACTTGTGCACGGCGAATATGACCGCGAGACATTCCTGCTCTGTGACAGTATAGTTTCGCTCCGGCTTACTTAAACAGCGACTGGCATAGGCAACGACGTGTTCAGCAGCTCCATGGCGTTGGACCAATACGGCGCCAATACCTATACCACTGGCGTCGGTATGAACTTCTGTGGCAGCAGATGGGTCATAGTGGCGAAGTACGGGCCCTGACGTAAGAGCAAACTTCAGTTGCGAAAAAGACGACTCGCATTCCGCTGACCACCGAAAAGGAGCGTTCTTGTTGAGTAGGGACGTCAAAGGGTAAGCGAGGTCGGCGAACCTGGGCACGAAGCGACGGAAGTACGAGCATAGGCCCAAAAAGCTTCGCAACTCTCGTACCGACTGAGGTTGTTTGAAGCTGCTGACTGCTGCGACTTTCTGGGGGTCGGGTCGAACGCCATGCTTGTCCACCAGGTGACCGAGAACGAGAGTCTCGCGGCTGCCAAAGTGACACTTCTTAGAGTTCAGGGTGAGCTTAGCTCTCTCAAGGCAGGTGAGAACAATGTCTAGACGATGGTTGTGTTCATCGAATGTACGGCCAAATATTATAATGTCATCCAGGTAGCAAAGACAAACTTCCCACTTTAATCCACGTAACACAGAGTCCATGAAGCGCTCAAATGTGGCTGGAGCGTTGCATAGGCCAAACGGCATTACATTGAATTCAAATAGGCCATCTGGGGTTATGAAGGCCGTTTTCTCTTTGTCATTCGGGTGCATGGGTATTTGCCAATAACCAGATCTCAAATCCACGGATGAGAAGTACGATGCCGAATGTAAACAATCGATGACATCATCAATCCTGGGAAGCGGGTAGACATCCTTTTTAGTAACAGAGTTGAGCCGTCTGTAATCCACGCAGAATCGCCATGTACCATCCTTCTTTCGGACAAGAATCACAGGGGCAGCCCAAGGGCTACACGACTCTTGAATAACCCTTTTCTTTAACATCTCTTCTACCTGTTGAGTAATGACCTTGCGCTCCGCAGATGAGACACGGTATGGTTTCTGCCGGATAGGGTGAGCGGATCCTGTGTCAATCCCATGGTGAGTACGCCACTCGGGTACACTTATTTGCTCTTCTTTCTGCGCAAAGTCAAATATAGTAGCGTGCTTCGCAAGGACTTCGACCAAAGCTTGACGTTTTTCTGATGTTAGCGACTTGTTTACCATACTCAGAGAGTTGGCTTCTGTATGGTACGTTGCACAAATAGGATCTACTCTCTCGTCACTTAAAGATGCAATGAAACTAGTCACATTTTGTTCGAAGCGGGCGAGTCGCATTCCGCCGGGTAGCATAACAGGTTCATTTGAATAGTTCGACACCCATAAGGCCGATCGCCCATCACTGATCGCCAGAACACAATGTGGAATGAGCACATTTTTCTTGGCGCAATTAAGAGGAATGGGCTCCACAAGAACATCAAACTTTCCGGCGTCCGAGGCAGAGGCGTCAACGCGTACGGTCTTCATCGAGTTGGGCGGCAAGACAACATCCTCAATGACGGTGATAGATCCTTGACAACACCTAGGATCGTCAGTAAATGCCGATAGCATAATCTCGCCAGCACCGCAATCTACGGTAGCCCCGCACTCGCGTAGAAAATCGATGCCCAAGATGATGTCATGGGTGGAGCTTGTCAGGACGGCGAATTCAGCCTCGAAGACCTTGTCACCCAAAGTGACACTAACAACACACACACCGATCGGGCACAATGTCTCCCCGCTCACTGCACGAAATGATGCACAACTGTCTCAGCGAAACATCACTTTATGTCCTAGCCGCAATTTGAAGTTAAGACTCATTGCTGAAACAGCTGCTCCAGTATCTATCAAAGCCATCGTAGGAAGTCCATCAATAAGCACGGGGACCCTATTTTGAGTCATAAAAACGGGTGGAGGCATAGGCGGATGTAGTGACAAATGTTCGGCGACCTCACCTCCATTGGCCGCACCACCTAGTTTCCCGGAGGCGGGGAGGTGACGCGTCTACCAGGAGATGGGGAATGGAACCGGCGTGTTGTGGGGGGCGTCAAGCTTCACACGGAGGAAGGCGAGTCGTTGCGTAAATTCCGGTGGAAATTGCGTCCTACATGCGTATCACTGTGGATCGTTTGCTGGAAACCGTCCCCATCGTACGCGTCCCGCATTGAACGCATACCACCGCGCCAGCGGTTTTGTCGAGAAGACGGTGATGGTCCCTCGTAGTAGCGTTGCTGGGGGCGACGCCTTTGACCACAGAATCGAGCCACATGTCCACGGAAACCGCAGTTATAGCACACAGGGGCCTCACGCACGTCGCCAAACCTTCCACGAGGCGCCATGTGCGCATGATCGTCCCACGAAGACACCATTGTAGGTGGTTGGCGGGAGGCGTTCTGGAAACCACGGCGATGATGTAAGTTGTCGGTTGGGGGCTCTGGTGCTCTTGATTGGGGCACATCATATAGCGTGGCATCAACGGCAGCACACATTGCGTCGTATGGCGGGGAGGTGTTGATAGCAGGTGCTCTCGGCGGGTTGACAGCATCACGTCGTCCAAGTTCTTCGCGTACGATTTGCCTGATCATTGAGGCAAGATCACAGGGGGATGTTGGAGGGACGTCGACACTTGCAACGGTGGTGACGTTGGCAAGTCTACCAAATTTGGGAGTGATGCGCCTAGCCTTCAGTGTCTCAAACGTGCGGCAGTGTTGTATTACGTCCGCTACAGACGCCAAGGTGTCCTTGCCGATTGCTACGATACTGAGGATGCGCGTGGAAGAAGAGGAGAACGAGGTTGGCACGAGCAGTGATCGTTGGACTTGGATCGCTCCGCTGTACCCAGCACCTCCACCAATCTTGTTACGGTGCGATGGATGCCTTTATTTACAGGAGATGATCAATGCGAGAGTCCAGGGATCTGGCCGATCACTGCTCGTGCCAACCTCGTTCTCCTCTTCTTCCACGCGCATCCTCAGTATCGTAGCAATATGTATACACACAATGGATATAAAAAGCAAGAACAGCATTAGATCCAGCATTACCATTAGCGCCACATTTGCAGCATCATGATGAGGTTAATACGAGTAATTGCACACACCAGTCGTTATACTAATCGTCTTGATATCGGCCGCGTTTCACTCCGAGTACTATGCATGGTAAACAGTCATACATATTCCCATCACATATTCATCAAGTATTTCTTCTCCTGGTGTGTAAAAAGAGCACTGAGCAATAAGAAGTCACTGTAACCTGTTCCATTGCCAGCACTGTTTACATACAGTAGAACCCGGGAGTTTCATTTCATAAGGAACCACGGAAAACTCGCGATTCAGGAAAATGTAAAATCTCATCACAATTGTCTTAGATCAACCTGAACTGAGACTAACATTTCAGAGCACAAGCACCAGAAAAGCAGCGAACACGATGTGTCAATCGGGTTTTTGATGTATGCAGCGCATTACCACTTCAGGTCGTGGTCACTTCGGAACTGTGATGGCTATGGATGCCAACGCTATAATGTGGACAAGCTGAAAATTTTATTTGTCGTGTGCGCATGTTTGAACAAGCCTGAGGCTCTGCAGGTGACAAATATCGTGCTCACCTAAAACTTGTTCTGGGCGCACCAGGTACTCGCATCGACTGCCCTTGTACTCGGGAGGACAAATGCATGTCTGAGTCTTGCTTCCAATGTAATACCTGCAACAATACATCCACACATTGAGTACATGGTTACTTACAAAGAGTAAAATAAAAAAAATATCCAAAAAACGTATTGCCAACATAGCTAGCAGCAGTACTAAGTAGGTAGCATTACGCAATAGTGAGCATTGTGAATGGCACAGATGAGAAGGTTACTCTACTTTCTCACAGACAACCCGCACGAAATGCGCTGAAAATTCAGGATGAAAGTAGAGGTGCGAAATATATACACCAATTTTAATATGAGGTAGCTTTGCAGCACAGCTCCGCAGTGACGCAAGGAAGGTAGCTTCCCGGCAATATGTGGCCACCTCATCGTTTTGTTTGTTTTTGCCCCTCGCAGTTTGCCATTACAGGTGCTGGTTATATGCAAGAAAATGTATCGTACACGTACAGAAAACATATTCATCGCACAGTTTAAACTCTGATCACAGGGACTTTTTCAAATGACACTGAATGCTTGTCACATCGATGCTTTTGGAATTTCCCCTTGTCATAACGCAGCCGCGATGGCCGAGAATCAACCCCATTACCTCATTTTCAGCTGCGGGGCACCAGAGGAATTATGCCAATGCACTGCAACACAAACAATAAGCATCGTTCGATTGATTCATGCAAAAGCTAATTCATCGTACTACTGACAATGCGTATGCTGCTTCCATCACTGATTCCATGTATAGTATACATTAAAAAATATACGCAACTTTGCGGAAAATTTTCTCTTTCAAAACAAGTATGAACAAAACTGCTACAATGGTGAGGATACTGCTTAACGTTATCTTGAGTTTCTCGGTGATCAATTATTTTAGTTATAAAACAACGGAGGGCTTCTTTACATTGTGCCCGCAGCATTACCAATGTAATCCTCACTGACACATTTCTCCAATTATAAAATTACTGTAGGCCAATCGCCCTGATGCTAACAGAATGTGTGCATAACACCTCCTAGCAGCAACATAATGTTACGCTCCAAAGGTCTCGCACGAAAAACGTCATTTGTGCAATGTTGGAATAGATTTTTACAAATCACCAGCGCAGCACAGGTTAGACGCTGTAGCAATCATAATTTCCTTGGGAATGCGATATAGATACAATGAATAATTTGTTTTTCCTTTTCAGCAGCAAGAACTGAATGGAAGCAAGGCAAGCGCTTGTGGATAATCTGGCTTAGCTCTCTAATCCCTCGCAGGATTTTCTCTTACTGCTTTATCCAACTCCTAATCCTAGCTCTTACGCAGCTCAGCCATCCACGTAGGTAAGCGTACTCTTGTTTGTGTGCAGCTATGCCCCTATCTAGGCTACAGCCTAGTTCGGCAAGAACGAGGGAATCACTTCGGTTAAAAAAAAATCATAGTTTTGCCGCAAGGGCAAAGAAATGAATGTGATAGCAACAAACAAAAAAAAAGAAGTTTCCAGCTTAATCATGAAACACAATACCGCTAGACGAAATCAAGTTATATTGAGTCAAAATTCCCACGAAGCACCGGTAAATGTTTGGTTGTAGTCACTTTATGAGATAATATTTATTTCTCGTCCCGCTATGTTACTGTTCTACAACAGCTGAGAAAATTGCGACGCGTGTAAAAGGATACGAGTCTGACTGCCGGAGTGATAGCTTCATGAATATTTAAATCATGCCCAGATAATAGGTCATTAACTTCCTAAAGTTCAGAAGGCATGCAGCGCTTCTGTAAATTCGTTAGCGACCTTACATCATTGCACAAAAGAAAATATTGCGAACATTTAACTCCTCTCTAACATAATAATTCACTTCACATGTAAACAACAAAAGCAAGCAGTATGAATATAAAAAATTGCCTTGGGTGTGGGTATGGTTTTTTCGGTGCACTTAAAATAATATACAAAACATTTTACGTTGGAGTGTTCGCATGCCCAGTCAACAAGCCAATACAACTGGGTGCGAAAGAGTGAATAACTACATCTCTCTCTCTCTCTCCACAAACTGCGAGAGAATGGCTCATCGTATTTCTACGCACTTGAATATCTCACTTAACATGCGGAACCTTCTAAGTGCAGGCCAGTAAGTGTAAGCACTTTAAATAGCCTGGATTTCCTGCTAGGCCATACTAACAATTGACATGAATGGGATAGTCTTTATGGGCACACCAGTTTACTGCTTAAGGTTTTCCTTTGAGAATGGCCTGTGTGTCTCGCACAACATTCACTGTTTTCATGACACCATGCTTGTGACACGGCAGGCTGACCATGTGTCATGACATCTGTCTTACCATTATGGAGTTTCATAAAAGCCGTGTCCTGGCACTCAGTGCTACCTGAGACAAAATATTCAAGCATATTCACGATATCTGAGGCAAAATGTTCATGTTTATTCACGACATATTGTGTCTTTTCTCATAACACAATAGTCATGGCACAACTATCACTGTTCCGATGACAGAATTTTCGTGACATGACTGAGCGATCGTGTCGCATGGCACTCGTGTAATCACACTGAAATATCATGCATGTCATATGTCTCTTGACATTATGCGCTACCCATGCCAAAATATTTATACATATTCATAGACTTGTGGGGGTGTTGGCTGTTTCTAGGACATGACCTTCATGACATGACAGATGACAATCACTGTTCCTATGACACAATTTTCGCAACATGATGTACTGTCACGTAGCATGTCTCGTGGCAGTTTCGTGATGAGCGTTGGCAAGTCTCGTGACACTCGCTGATCTTGTGACACAACGTTCGCAACAAGGCTGGCTTGTTGTGTCTAGGGGCAAAAATTTTAGGCCAGAAATTCCTCTATGTAATAAAGCGGGCAAAGGGTTGTACAGGCGCAGTCTCTTAACGCGGGCAGCCGCACAACAAGCGCTCGAGCTACTGGCTGGCTGGCATTTTCCTGCGTTATCTCCAGCGCCACGGAAACAGGATACTAAGCGCTCTCGGAGCTGTCAGCTGATAGGGAGCTCACGAAGTCGCCAGACACGGAAAGGGTTGTTTGCATCGAGACAACAGCACCCATTGCACAACTGTTATCAGTCCTGCCTTTAGAAGCCCCTGCTTTCGCATGCACGAGATCTTGCGAAAAGACGAGTCACCAGATGTCGCTCATCGGGGTGACCACTGCCAACATAATACAATCTGTCATATAGTTGTAAACAGCAACAGTCTTAAACGATATACTTAAATACCATGATGATTATGGGCAACCGCTGATAAAAAAAAAAAAACAAGTGCCAGAATCTACATGTGACCTTGCACAAGCGGGTGTGGCTTTCTTCAAGTGCTTTGGAACAAGAAGAGAGGAAAAAAAAAAGAAAAAGATATTTATGAAAGCATTGAACCTGAGTTGAAGTCGAGAGAAGCACAATAAAGGGGCAGCGAGAATTCATTAAACTGCTTAGAAGAACAAAACACTGCCGGTTGTGATGCAAAGGAACAACTGCAGGTGCATGTATTCTCAGCTGATGCTTTGAGACCCAGATGGTGGGCAGCTGCTTTCCGACATACACATGGTTACTCACATACAATATACAATGCCGAAATGGCCACGCAGTTTTATGCCCTTGCATTATTTTTTTTTTCCTTCCCGGAAACATGCATATCTTTATATTTACCTTTTATGTATAGCCAAAATGTAATGTAAATAAAGGAGGTTGATATTTTTTGCAACCTAATAATAGAAGGCAGAAAATTATTACAAAAAAATTAATCTTTTAGTCAATAAGTTATAGTAGGTAAATGTGATATACAGAAGAAGGCGTAAACTGTTGTTCAGAAAAGACGAAATGAATGCATGCGGGCTGTTCTCTGTACAAGTGGGCTTGATACTGCTTCATTTGCCTAGAAACATCTCACTTTTTGTGAATGCCAGAAGAATGAATGCTTGAATTAAAATAAATGACAACAGGTTAAAACGGATTACTTGGCACTTAAATATGAAACATTTTGTGAACATACGGGCAAATTCAAACAAGATTAATAAAAAGGGAAAGAATTCTTTTTTGTATGAATGTTACGATTACACAAAAAGAAAAGAAAAAGCTATCATCTCACCTGCTTTGCGTGTTTTTGTAAATGAGAATTCACAGCTGCACTTCAGTAACAAATTTATTGCTATGCTGGATAAATTTTTTGTCCTTGTTTCAAGCAGCAGCTTTTGACGTTAGCAATCTTAATGCATTGGATGGAAAAAGATAATGCATTATGAATGCAGAAAAAAGTGTTCTTTTACTAATTTCCCAAAAGAAAACATCCCTTTATTATAATTATATGTTGGGCTCCTCTCCACTTAAAGAAGTCGCCAACTATAAATATTTAGGCATCACAATTTGCAATAACCTTTCCTGGAACCTTCATGTTCAAAACATATCTTCCTCCGCCTTCAGAAAACTATGCTTTCTTAAATACCAGCTTAAACATGCTCCAGTCTTTGTTAAACTTCTTGCGTATTATTACTTAATTCGTCCGAAGCTCAAGTACGACTGTGTTGCATGCGACCCCTACACACAATGTAACATAGAAAACCTTGAATGAATCCAAAGACAGGCTATCCGACTTGTTTTCAATAGGTTTTTCCAGTTTCGACTCACCAACTGAACTGATGCAGTCGAATGATATCCCCAGTCTTGAATCGCCTCGAAAAAAGAAAACTGCGGCTTGACTTTCTGTCACAGCTGCTTAATAATAAACTCGCACTTGATCGGGCAGAATATTTGAGTCGACTATTGACGAGGCTTACTCGTCAACATCATCCAAAGGCTTTAACCCCCTATTTCGCCCAAACTGACTGATTCAAATATTATTTTTTTCCGTGCACCATTAATGATTGGAACAACTAACACACTGTAGCATTTGTTTGCACACTTGTATTGCATATTGTAGGTTTGTTGAAAATGTATACTAAGGACTTAATAGTTCAACAAGACTGTTTTACTTTTTTGATTGTGTTTTTTCTACTCTGCATGGACCTTGTGTCCACTGTATGTATTAAATAAAAATAAATAAATAAAAGTATGCCACTTCAATGAAGGTTGAAAATGGGCCTGAGAAACACAAACGGGCCTGTCAATAAACTCCCCATACCCTATTATTATTATTATTTATTATTATTATTATTATTATTATTATTATTATTATTATTATTATTATTCTGGGTGCACCTATACAAAAACTTTATGGTTGTTCCTGGGCATGTTGAATAAATGAATGATTTGTTGATATTATTATTATTATTGTTATTATTATTATTATTATTATTATTATTATTATATTATTATTATTATTATTATTATTATTATTATTATTATTATAGTGGTAGTAGTAGTAGTATTGGTAGTAGTAGTAGTAGTAGTAGTTGTAGTAGTAGTAGTAGTAGTAGTAGTAGTAGTAGTAGTAGTAGTAGTAGTAGTAGTAGTAGTAGTATAGGTGGCATATGAAAGGATTAGCTTAAATGACAGTGATTCACTTACCGGCATGTGCCCCCATTGTTGCACAGGGACGACGAGGAACGGGCGGCACTGTCAGGACCGCAGCGCGGCGAGAACTGGCACTCGTCGCCGTAGAAGTCGCCGAGACAAGCGCAGCTGTAACGGCTCCAGTCGGCTGCGGCCAGGCACACGCCCGTGAAGGAGCAGTGGTGCCCAAGGCAGGGATCAGCGCGCATGCTCTCGTTGGCCTCGAGCATCTCGTATGTCAGGTTGAAGCCGTACACGTCCAGGAACAGGTCCAGCACCCGATGGTGGATATTGCCCGGCTCGCGAACCTGCGCCGAAGCGCAGCTTCAGGAGGACTGACAGCCCATTTCTCTCGACCCAGTTTTGTACGACACAATGTTATTACTGAGTCAGTAAGAGTAACGGAGTGGATTCCAAGACAAGTCAAGCATGTAAGGGGAAGGCAAAATCAGGTGGGCAGGTGAGATTGAAGGGACACCAAAGACCAAAACACTTTTTTCCGTATTAGCTAAGTACAACTTCACAATTCCTGAAAACATCACTGTTACCGTAACATGACACTTGGTAAGCTGAGAAAACGCGCGAAGAGTGGAGACGCCTACCTTGAAATTCCCGCACCAGACACTGTGACGTCATAAATTTTGAAGGCGTATACTGGGTCTTACATACTTTTTAATCAATAAAGTTGAAGTACATTGTCATCAATGGGTGCCACAGACTTAGTATACAAAGTTTCAGAAAATTTCATCAAATTAATGTCGCAAAAATATGAAAAATAGATTGTCAAATTCCTTACGTCGCACAAGGAGATTACAGCGCGAAATTAAAAAATTGGGTCTGCATGTTGTTATCTCCAACACCACATTGAGCCATGATGTCATTTGCTGCCACATCAACCTTTTTAACACTGTGCCGGTTTACAGAGAAACATTATTAAAGATGTGTACAGTAATGTTTAATAACAATAACAATAATAACAATTAGAGTACCCCTATGCTTGTAAGTACATAGCGTTGTATGCTTTAAAGGGTTCTGGCGTTCACTTGATGTAAAATTAAAACGTGCTAATCACCCCGCCCCCCCAAAAAAATTGTTAAGCGTTCAGACTACTTATCTAAATGACCTAGCAGGGCTTCGCTGCAGACAAAAGAGCTGATGAGACGCGAGTATTGCTTACAACTGCAATAAATAGCAACAGCTGTTCAGCAAAAGCTATTTGCTCCGTCAACAGCAGACAATAAATGACAAGCTTCCTTTTTTGTTTACACAGCGACACACAGCACTGCAGGCAAGCTGTTGCTCTTGACATTAACAAATTTCTAAATAATTGTGCGAGCACTATTATTTACAAACTTTTCACTTAAGTGCACTGTATACTGTAAATTTAATGTGCTTTTTTGATGTGGCATCGTCATCTCTGAAAGTTTTAGTCAGGTCAAGCTAACTTTCCGCTTTACACCTGAAAACGGACTTAAACGCGAAGACTTGTTTCAGCTTTACAAGTGGAAATACGTCGAGACATTAGGCCTCATGCGCCACTTTTTAATTTCAGGCATGATGTATGCTAATTAATTATGGCATCTGTTTTTATAATGTCCTCCCACACGTTGCATATTTTATTACATCCTCAACAGTGACCAGTATTCATATTGTAGCAAGCATGTTTCGCCACATGGCATGATGTGATAAAGGGGATGACACCTTGCCAACTTTTTTTACATTGTTTTGCGTTACGGCATTACGCCTGTTGAGGAGTCTCCTTTTACAGTTTTAAATATTTCCAATTAAATATCTTGTCCCCTATGTATGAAAACAGAGGAATACGAGGCTTTAAAAAAGTAAAAAGCATATAACGAGCTGGTTGGAGCATAAAGAAAAAGCAATTAAACCCATTCTAAGGTTAGCATTGCATGCGATTAGGTATGTAAGGATTTGCTTTGCTTGACACTGGCCTTAATAAAGGCAGGTGTCACTTTAACCTTCTGAAAATATTTGCAATAAGACAAACAGCCAATTAATAACATTTCCATATCTCATTAGAGACATTTCTGCTTCTGGAAAAGGACTTACCAGATTCAAGGAATGAATTTAGATGAAGGAAGCAATGTGCTTCATAACCTTTCAGTACACAGCACCTAATGTTAAACAATAGATGCACTGATCAATCTTTCTACGTGACATGTGCAAGAATTCTGACTGTGACAATAATGTTTTACCAGCTCAAACTAACAGACACCATGTGCAGAGCTGCAACATACGTGCACACATTTTGCCGCGCACGGCACTGGACTGTTTTGTACAGGCTGTCATTTTAGCTTGAATTCAAAATTCGAAAATATTAAAGCATGAAAAAAAAACCGCTGCCAAAAGGAAAATGGCACTACACAGTCTGCGAGATTACAACTTTAAAAATTAAATTGCCATTTAGAAAAGTCAACATTTCTTGATTGATGTGTACTCTAAGATACCATTTCAGCAGTCGCATTCATTTTCTGTTACCGAAACAAACACTTCAAAAGAACTCAGTATTGCAAGCAAGCACATATATAACCTTTGCATCGTACGATGCTCATGCCGTTCAGATGAGTTATTCTCATCCTTGTTTATATAAAAACTATAAAAACGGGTGCACGAAAATGTTCTGCATATAATGAAGGTGAAAAACCTAATCATCCAGTGAAAGGTGTTACACTGCATTACATATGCAAAACATTGCATTATATCTCAATTAAATAAAGCCCCTCTTGTCACTGTGTTTATATAGCACTTCCTGGCCTAATTTACTTTGCATAACTTGCTCTTATGACGTCACTAAAAAGAAGTTTTCAGCAGGGCTCATAGAAATGTCCTACAGCTTCAAAGTAAATACCCATATGTGACATTTGTGTAGTCGTAGCTAATTAAACGTATTAAGCCTATGCAGTAGATTGCAATGCATCACACATGTATAAGTTCACAATTTACATATTCATTTATAAATAGCTGTGACAAACAGTTCTGTCACTACTACTGCCAATTCATTATTGTGAGAACAGTCCGGAAGATTTTATTGACACCTCTTTATCATGAGGAGAAATGCGTCTGTCGTCCGAAATAATGGATAAACATTTCATTTAGAAAGTATGTCTTCCGAGCTGAACGCAAGAGTTCTTTGCAGAATCACAGGAGACTGAAGACATTGCTGACACCGCGTAAAATAAATATTCGCGAGAAAATTAAATGCTTCGTTGCAGCCCTAACGAAGATTCGGAACAAAATATCTGGAAGTGAAGCACCAACCCGCCGCAGCGGTCTAGCGGTTACAGAGCCGGAGGTCGCGGGATCGAATCCCGGTCGCGGCGGCTGTGTTTCAACGTAAGCGATATATGCCAAAGGGGCCGTGTACTTCGATGGGTGCACTTTATAAAGAACTCCTAACGGTAAAAAATTTTCAAAACCCTCTGCTGAGACACTAAGTGTGCCGCCGCGGATCGCAATCGCGCGATTATGGTGCAAGCGGAAAACGCAACTATGAAGATATTCAACTATGAAACGCAACCATGAAAAGAAACGGATATGTTTGAAAGTTCCGAACCTATCAATCGCCCTGAAAATGACTGACAGCATCAGGTCGCGGAGGAATCGAGAGGGGAGGGGGGGAGGGCAAACAAAAAACTCGAGTCCAATCACCTGGAAGTCGATGACCATGACTGGCTTGTTGCTCAACACATGCGTGGGCTCGGTTTCCGACGTGATGGAGCCGATCAGCGTGCCGCCCATGTTCAGTTGCTCGTCCGAGTAGAACAGGTACTCCGACACCGTCACACCCTCGCGCATGTAAAACTGCGTCAAGTAGAGCGCCACTCGCTGCCTGGGTGCCGCTTCCAGCACCCATCGGCACGCGATGGGCACCGGGTAAGGGCGCGGGAAGCCGGGAGTGCTTATGACACCCCTCGGTCCGCGCAGCACGCCACCGCAGTCGCGAAACACCTCTGCGGCTTCGGCGCGAAGCACGAACTCGAGTACGGCGAGCACGACACAGCAACTGACCACGGCCGCTGAGGCGCAGCGCAGAACTGTCATGATAGAACCCACAGGTAGCAGCAGCACACGGGTTGGAAAAGAGAACACCGCACCACAAACTTCAAGCACAGGGAGACACTTTCCTTGGTCGAGACACTCCTTTCACAAAAGCCGAGTTTTCCGAGCTGCGGCGTCCGTTGTGTCCGGCCAGTGCGAGACGACGTTTCTTGGCCTTCGTGCACGACTTTGTCCGGGCAGCAGCGCAGAGCGAATCGATCTCACGGAGGGACGTGGCGCGTTTACCCGAGCTCGCCTCCATCGGGTCCCGGCTGGAACAAAGTGGCAACCGGCCGTCGGGGATACGTTGGTTACAATTGCGGCGTGAAGCGAGCGCGCGAAGCTGGGCGCCGATTCCTCGCGCGCGCCCAGAGAAATGGGGATTTCGAGCGCGCGCATTCGCTTACCGCCACTTATTCGAACGATCGATGCACGAGCAGCAGGAGGCCCGGGCTAGCAGGATCGGACCGGGAGGCTGCAGCAACGGTGGCGACGAACGTCCGACTAACCCGGGGGGCGCCGTGGGGCGCAGTGAATGGGCGACTCTCGTTCCATTGGCCTGCTTAGAGGAGCACGCAGAGTCCGTCGTGCAAACAAAACCGGTTGCACTGTTGAGAACACTGTGACCCGCCGCGTCTCATCGACGCCTCCGGAGTCTGCATGGGGTGTTTTGGCTCTAGGCTCCTAGAACCCTATACGTAGCGGCAGGCCCCGGAACACGCAGTAGCAGACGCCTCCTTACGTCAACGCGCTTCGCTGGTTTCGCTCGCCGCCGAGCGACACACACGGACACACACTCACAGGCGCTCGCTTGCGCACGCAAGAAACGCGCGCGCGAGCTGCGCGCAACGCCGCTGCCCGTCGCGACATCTATCGCGGGAGAGGCGCACCTGGCTTCGGTTGCTCCCGCGGGCGGCTGCTGACGACCATTTGACGACGACCTATTTCGACACACGCATGCAAATAAGAGAAGCCGCCGAACAAATACAAAGGAAAAGTCTGTAAATAGGCGTCTGTGGCGAGTCACTTGCGTCAGTGCTTCCTGAAAGATAATTGTGGAGAGGGAGGGAGACGGGCAAAACAAATGGCGCAAACTTCCTCGACTTAGGCACACAGAACACCTGCCACTTGTAGTTAAAGGTAGTTAAAGGGTTGCGACAACTTACTTCACTTGGGAGTTTCCTCTTCGCGACTCGCTACATAAAACTATTGCTGCGAAGGAGTCTCCCAGCGCGTGCGTTGACTGGAGGCGCAAGCATGACGTAGCATTTAAATAATTACACAGTGACTAAGCATAGGCACTCTACACATGATACGGCGACTCATCCTGATTGGACGGTGCGCTGGTCGTCTCGACGTGCGTCGCAACGGGCGGAGCAAAAATGCAACGGCGCGGTACGACTGAATTTGGGTGACACGGTTGAGCTGGTTGGCGTAGCGGCCGCGGTTGGTGGTCGCAGTAGAAGATTGGTTGGTGGAAAGAGAAACTTTCTTTTGAAATACCACAATGGCTTTTCTTCAAAGTCCTTGCGGTGTGCCCAAAACAGTTTTCCTTCCCCTCTATTTGTATCGCTGCTGCTGTAGTACGCTGTTGAGATGTTAGCGGAATAAATTGACATTCTGCGAACAGTTAGGAGAGCCCAAGACAAGACATTGTTGCAGAGTCATATTGTCGCATGTCGTACGTCAAAGGTGATGGAAGCAAGGAAACTGAATGTGTGTTTCACGCTGGGGAGGGCGAGAGTTCAGCTTCTCGACTGACAGGTTCTTTTGAGAGTAGGAAAGGAGAAAATGAATATGCGTGAACGAAAGTGCGTTTTGTGTTTGCAACAACTGCAGCTTGACCAGCAAAGTCAAAGAAGCGGCAACACAGCATGCGGCCATCGATGCTTTACAACTAAAATTAAAGCCATGCTTATAAATAATTCCGCGCATTGCCAAACAAACAACCTCTCAGCTAAGCCAGATGAGTCCTGAATGTTCTTTGGAAGTTAACGCCAGTTAAAGTGGAAAGATGGAAAGAACTAATTGTCACTTGGACGTGAGATGGTTACATGAAGGGTTTTATTATTTATTTTTTCATGGGGACGTGGAAAAGACTCTCACCATCAATATCATCAGCCTTTCTCACATCCAGCGCAGGATGACTACCTCCCCCAAAGATCTACAACCCGCATGGTCCTTTACGAGCTGCATTCATTTTATATCTCCATATTTCTTAATTTCGTCTTTCTGCCCAACCCTTGTCCGTCCCCGTTCGCGCTTCTCATCTCGCGGTGTGTGATATTCATTCCGATGTTATAACAAACCATCTCTTCTCTCATCTGCTCTCATTAGACATCGGTTACCCCTTCTAGTTATCTGCTTGGCCGTCAGCAACCGCGCAAACAACCACGCGTTCAGTGCCTATCAATGGAGGACAGGTTCCAAACGGGTGCAAATAGAATAGTGATTAGAGAGATAACCGCGTGCTACAGCCGGGCCAAAGATAAGCCGCCACGTAGTGGTACAATTTTCTATTTATATTAGTTCACTGCAGCTATGGTGCGATTTTTCACGCCGGGCCGCCGCGGTGGGCGAAGCCGCTTCGCGTTTTCTCCATCAACGGGCGCGGATTCGCCGAACGGGCGAATTCGCCTGGCATTGCAGACGCGTCCTTTCGCACGCTGCGCTTTTTGACTGCACGGTACGTCTCAAAAGAAAGCGTGGTACGCCTGGAACTCGGCGCCGGTCCAAGAAAGGGCGCGGAATCCCCGAAGGTCGCCGCGCGGTTTTGCGGGAAGGGGGACAAACACAACCACGCATGAGGGGGGGCGTTCGCCCACTGCCGCATAACTCCGCGTTTTAGCCCCTCTCTTCCGCCCCCCGCGCGCTCTGTTCCCGGAAGATTTATTCGTGCCCGTTGTCAAAAGAACCCGGTTTCCCCCGCGACCTGGGGCCGTTTGTGTCGACCGGATGTCGTTGAACTTGTGGAGATGAAGAGTAAATAGCGAACTCCACCCACCATTCGATTGTCGGCTTCGGCGTCGTCGTTCAAGTGCCGCACGTGCGCCTGCGTCAGTCGGCGGGGTCGTTTTTTTTTTTTTTTTTCGCTTGTCTTCTCATAAAGTGTTCTAAGCACCACCGCCGCCGTAAGCCGGCTCTTTTGCTGCTCGAGAGTTGGATTGCGGGAAGGGGGGGGGGAGTCGAAAGGCTGCGACCTCGCTAGAGACGGATCTTTCAAGCGAGAAGTTAGGGTCGGAGCTTGGGGATTATTCTGAGCTAGGACGATCGCTTACGGGGAAAACCTCTTTCAGGGAGCGCCGGTTGGCTGCTCGCGGAAGGGGAAGTACCTAGTCGCTTCAGCCATTCGAGCCGCGCATTCGAAGCAGCGAAGCAAAGAAATTCAGGAGGAAAGAAAGAAGGTCACAAATACTTCGTGTATAGGTTCGAGCGTGCGTTTGTGTATGTATGCGTGTATGTGTTAACATGCTAAATTAAACGCTCTCGGTGTTGTTTGGAAACATTTAACCCCCTGTATACATACATGTTCCTTCCAGTGGCACTGTTGCTACTTTCTCTATTTAGAGTGTTGGGAAAGCATTGAACTATAGAAGATGCTCACTGTACCCGCGATAGTTCTGCAGAAGGGGAGAGTGGCCTGAAACTAAAAGACCTTACTTCACCACTGGCTCTATGTTGCTGTTGTTGTTGTTGTTGTTGTTGTTGTTGTTGTTGTTGTTGTTGTTGTTGTTGTTGTTGTTGTTGTTGTTGTTGTTGTTGTTGTTGTTGTTGTTGTTGTTCACCACATGATACACACCTACTTTAGGGTATTGGCCCAGTAGAAGTGAATTCTTCGCATATTTTCTTCGGCGCTAGTAAAAATCAACCTGTGGCGTTCTTCGTTGTATTCCAGCCCATACGAATGCTCCACGACGTAGAAATACCAGAGAAAAAAAAGCGAACTGCTGTAGCCAGCGTGTGATGTTTACGACAAGATGCCAGGTGCTAACAAACTTGAAACGTACTCATCCGCGCTCCTGACTTCCGCGCAAAAAAAAAAAAAAAAAAAACCCTAAGCAAAATTGTTCCCAACAATGGGAATTCAACATGTATGAGGGAGGAATTGGATTCGTGGATAACAGTACATTATAAGAATATCATATTTTATGTAGACAGACAGATTGGTGGCGGATCCCGAAGGCGGGAGGGGCAAGGGTGACCCCCCCCCCCACCAACGTTTCTGTCAGTACCCCCCTCCACCCTCAATTCAGTGCTTGTAGTCCACCTCCTATCACCAATTAGGACAAATTAGTGAATACTACGGGGTTTTTCTGCTAATAAAAACAAAAAAAGATCAAGCCCACGCTCCTCTCCGGTGTTGCTTTGTTACTTTAATCGACAGCCCCCCTAAAGTGATAGATAGATAGATAGATAGATAGATAGATAGATAGATAGATAGATAGATAGATAGATAGATAGATAGATAGATAGATAGATAGATAGATAGATAGATAGATAGATAGATAGATAGATATGATCATATCGCAAAGGGGAGAGAAAAGCACAGTTTTGTCGGTGACAAATTTTAAACAGGATGTGAAAGAACGGCCACCATTACGAGTGCTTGCCGCCGAACGGTAACAACGACAAAACTTTTATTTATTTATTTATTTCACGACCCGGAAACTGATGGAGACGTGGAGTTCTGTCCGCGTAGGCTTCGGCGTACGGTTTCAATCAACCCGACTAGCAAGCGTATAAACTTGTGGGACCTTGTTTACAAAGCCGTTATTCAGAAAGTTATCGCAAACCCCGACCGAATACGCACGACGTGCCGAAAATAATGATTTAACCGTCAAAGTGCGCTGCTGATGTTTTATTGCGTTTCATTGCAGTTTCTACGAGATGAAATGCACCCGCTCTACATGCAAGCGAGCGCGTCCTGTCTGTCTGTCTCTCTCTCTCTCTCTCTCTCTCTCTCTCTCTCTATATATATATATATATATATATATATATATATATATATATATATATATATATATATATAATATATATATATATATATATATATATATATATATATATATATATATATATATATATATATCCCATTCAATGAGGGACGCACCTTGAAACCTTTCTACTACAGAAGATACTTAGACGATATTTTTATGATATGGAACCATGATGAGGGAAGTCTTTTCCGCTTCATAGAAGATTTTAACAAGTGCCACCCTTCAATAAAATTCACGCACAAAATTTCCAAAACTAGCATTAACTTTTTGGACGTCACTGTCACGGTCGAAAATGACCGCTTGTGAACAAACCTTTACAAAAAGCCTACAGACCGTCAAATGTACCTACATTTCAACAGCAGCCACCCAAAGCATTGCAAAACGGGTATTCCATACTCTCAGCCCTACCGGTACCGAAGAATATGCACCGATATGCGGAAATTTGACAGACACGCGGAACACCTAAAGCATTCTTTATTGAAACAAAATTATCCGGAAGACATTATTGACGATGCCATACTACGTGCTCGCAACGTGAACAGGAATGATATTATTAAGGGACCAAACAGAGTATCTAAAACGACTTCCCAAACGAACCTTGTACTAACTTACTCCTCATCAGCGCCACGAATCAACAACACACTGTCCCGCCATTTCAACATAATCAGGCAAAGCAAACGACTAACTTCTATCTTCGCGAAGCCACCTCACGTGGTGTACCGCCGGGATAAAAATCTGAAGGACATTCTTGTCAGAGCAAAAACAACCACCCCCAA